ATAGCACCAGCTCTGGGGTCACTGGTACTATCTATCTATCTATTATTTTGGCTTCATTTATTCCTTAGTCGATGAGTACTAGAAATGCTGGCAGTATTTAATCCCTGTATTCGTGTAAAAAGCGCGTTTATATTTTTTAAATAATGTTCATATTAAGGTTCATGGGGATTTGCAAACAATTTATTACATGAACTTCTTTCTGAACACAAAATTACTTAGTATTCGTGCATCTACCAGTATAAAACCATACAAATCAATAAATTAACAACATATAATTCAAACGTATCAAGCTGAATATCAAATAATTGTTTGGCGATATCTAGTGTCAGACAATGTCCCTCCTTTAGTTACAATAACATTATTTGTTTATTAAACAACTTCTTTCCGCAACTGTCAACGTTTGGATGTGTTTTTATGATAGGAAGTCATATTTCGTTATTACGTTTTTAAAATCGTCAAATGGGAGACAGATTCGATTCGTTTCTTTTCCTTTGTTAACATTGTTGATAGTAAAAGTACAATACGATTTTTAATAGCACTTAAAGAGGAACATATAAACTAAATTGTATTCGTTTATTTAATATATAATAAAGCCTAATCTTTGGTTTATAATTTTTTATATAATCAGATTACCAGGATATAACCTAGGAAATCTTGACGTAAACGCTAATGCAATAGAAAATAAAGTCATTTTTGATTTTATTGTTATATATTACGAATTTATAATGATAAATTCGCAGCTTGAAAATATTTACTAAACACTACCTACGACCTACAAACAAAACAATGATCAAACTATTTATTTGTTTGTGCTTTGGTGTCGCCACGGTACATCAGATAACAATACTTCGACAATGACAACCGTCCTGTTTTATTGCTAATATCGAAATCATTTAATACTATCGGTACTCCCTATACAAGAACATAAGGCGCAGCTCTGTAAGGTAAACAATGTGCACAGAGGCAAAACTTTATTATGAAATAAAGTTAAATGAGTGATATCTAAAGCTGAGTTTGTTACTTTGTAAATAGAAAAACTTCTAATGCGGAATAATATCACTGTTCTCGCCTGAAGAAAATTAAAAAAAAGAAAAGTCCATAGAAATAATCTTTTTTTGATAGAAGTTGATTTGAATATTCAATATAATTCTAGAGCGATACAACAATTAGCGGTCATAAAATTTTTGATACCATTATACTACGATTTGACTTTAGCCTACAAATAAGCTTCAGTTTCGGTGATTACCTCTTCATTATAATACTATATCTAACAAACTAATAGTACGATAGATGTCTAAATCATACCCGTTATTACACGTGTCTTTCGAAGGTCCCGAACCTAACTAAAAATCATATTAATTTAACACTAGTAGCGCCATCTACGTGTCAGCCTACGAACTTTTCAGCCCACTTAATACTGTAACATTAAATATTTTTATGTAGTTTATTGTTGTGTAATGAAAGTATTTTTTATTAATAAATTCGAATCTATTGTGAGTTTGTATGCCTCGAATTCCTGGCGTCAGAATATCATTACTCATGTCATTTGACTAATAGAAGCTGCACCCCGCTGGTAACAACTGACTAAAGATCGCACGACGTATGAAATAGCCTCGTTGACGTCTTTGTTGATTAACGGGCATTGAGCACAGGAAACATCGATTTTCATGCAATTTCCAACTGTTTTATATGCATTTACGTGATTAAGGAGCTATTATTGTTTCACCATAAATTGATATGTATGAAATAGCAACAATCTTACCTATTCTAGTTTGTTTAGTTTAATTATTTTTTCTAGTGATCTGAATGTAATAATATATTGTTATAAATAAGTCCGCAATGCCTCAAACGAATGCGGGGCCTGTATGAATAGTTAGAATTCCTTTGTGATAATATGATGAGAGTATCAGAGTAATTATGACGAGATTGTCTTACGGGGAATGATGAGCAATCTAAGTCTTCTCCAAGAACTCGGTGTATTTGTACCTTAATGGAATATGTGCGATGGCGAAAGACAAGGTTGTTTGGCCAGAACCAGTCTGTTGCACAGTTCCCCGTTAGCAAAGACATTGCGCCTACTGAATTCTGTCTCCGACACTGTCAATATCTTTAAATGTTCGCAGAGTGAGTTCACAGTAGCTTTATTGTGTATCTTATGTAATTTATACACAAAAGAAACCAAACAAAACGAAAAATAAAATTTATTATATAAAATTATTCTTTTTTTGCCGACTTTATTGTATTGGTTTAGTACTGTATGTATTTTGTAATAAATAATTAAATCACCGCATTTAGTTTCATATAGTGAGTTGAAAAGTTATTATATTTTATGAGACATCCAATATAAGTAATATCTTAATTAAATAACTATTTCATTCTGAACTAATAAAATTTTTAAAGCGCGAACTGAAACTGAAAGAACTGTACAGTATTGACTGATATTATAAATCAACAATAATAATTTACTAAAGCTGAAATGAAAAAATAGAGTAATTTAAAATGTATGTCAAATACAACGCGTGTGGTCTTTTTATTAAAAGTCGTGCCAAATGGACAATATGTCTTTATATAATAATTGTTCTATGAAACAATGAATAATTTATAAGACAATTTTGTTATTATTATTATGAGATTAGACTAACATTTTCTCGTTTATCAATCACGATAAGGAAAATCTTTGTTGAGTAGGTTAGTTCCGCGTAATTAAAGAAATTAAAATCACGTTTGACCTTTGAACAGCATTTTTCATTTATTCTATGGAGTTCAATGATTTTAAATTATGTGTTCCGTTCCATATTTACGTTATTCATTTTTCCACTGAACAAATGAATAAGGGGTTGACAAATTTTGTCGTTATAAGGTACGAGGGCAGATATAACATAATGTTCTCGTTATAAGCCGCCCTTGTATGGGCCAGATATGTTGTGTTTCCATAATTAATTTTCAACATATATAGAAAATAACTTGATGTTAGATTTTTAGCAGTGTTGGCCTAGTGGCTTCAGAGTGCTACTCTCAAACTCAAACTCAAAACTCAAACTCAAAATATCTTTATTCAAGTAGGTAACCAAGTACACTTTTGAATCGTCAAGTTAAATTAATCGTAAATTTACATTTACTACCAGTTCGCAAGTCAAGGGCGTAGAGCGGGTAGGGCTCTCATCCCTAAGGTCGTAGATTTAGAACCCCGGCTATGCATTAATGGACTTCCTGTCAATTGGCGTATTTAACATTCGAATGGTGAAGGAAAACATCGTGAGGAAACATGCGCTATATACAAAAAGTCGACGGTGTGTTTGAGTCAAAGAACGCTGATCACCTATTTGCTTATTAGAGAGAACACATATAACGAAACAGATGCACAGCATCTGTGTCCAAACCTAAAAGAGCCGCTATTTTCTTTTATTTGTAAGCCATAAAAATCTGAATTGAATATAATCAAGTTTAGGTAAATTTACGTTTCGAATGCTTTACTGCAATTCTCTTAAGGACTACGTTTGCAGAGCATTCAAAATGTGTTATGTAAGTAATTTAACAGATAAACAATAACTTAAAAAAAAAAACTAACTAAAATATATTATTAAAGCCCTTTTGGCAAGGTTCCGAAGATACTGGCAGCGTTCCCCTTTGAATGACTAAATCTTTGTCCGAGGTAGCTGCCAGCTCTTCGGTCTCCTGTGATGTCGACTAACCTTTTTGCTATTTCCTTAAAAAGTCTTATAGCGCTAGGACCCCACGGACCAAGGGACTCGACACCGAATGGGACAAAATCATATTCGCAAAAGCAAAAGCATTTTCAGCTGCTTCACAAGCCGCACCAGCTCTGTTGTTGGTTCCATGTAGACGGGAACGAGCCAGCGTGTCTAAACAGGTTACATCCCATACAAGCACTCGGCCCATCTTCCATGTAATCAAACTCATACCGTCCGGTCTCTTGCCATCGTCTCTTGCAATAAAGAAATAATAATACCAGTCGACTCAAGTAGACTTGGCACGTTGACGGTGGCAAGGGACCGGCGCGGCCTATGATATCGTTAAGTGCGGCATGTCTCGAGAAGCGGCCTGCACTTTTTCGGCATAACAGTACTACAGTATTAATATCCATCATAGGAGTTTTAATTAAATAAGTTTTCAACTTAAGGTAAGTTGGCAACCAAAACAACAGATGCCAGGATAAATGTTTATTAATTTATAATAAGATTTGTTACTCAGAATAAGCCCTGATGTAATAACAGATTACATTTCAACATAAGTCGATATTTATAGCAAAAAAGTTGAGTGCCTTGAAAATTGCATTAATTTTAAAATATTTCCGTAACTTTTATAACATATATTTTTTTGTAAAATTAATCTACTGTAATAATATTATTAAGATTTTGAATATAAATACCATAATATACTATTTACAGGTTTCACAAAATTTATTTATTTTCGGAAACTAGATAATAAAATAATTGTGTACTAGTGTAGATCTTTCAAATATGACGCTAAAGTGAATAACGCGTTAATATAAATTAGTAATACATGAATATAATGTGGAGGAGGGATGGTGTGCTGTTCCTCCAACCTAAAGAGAGGATTCTCGATTAATGTAACAACTGACTGTCCGGCCCGAAGGACCCGTGGCTAAGGTCGGGAAGTATGTATGTATAGCCTCAGCGGCCGGAATAACCTCGTTTCAGGGTATGACGTCATCGCAGTGATTGGTAGGCACAGATTGTAGGTCTCGCTACAATAAAAATATTCCTCTTAATTGTATTTTGTTTTTATATTATTATACTAAGCTGATAATTTTCATGTATTATTTAGCTCCTTGCCAACAACCATAATGAATTAAGAAACGTTTAATTATAAATCTTATTAATTTTTAATTTTATAGTTTTATGGAGCCTGGGCCAGAAATAATTGCTCTTTAAGAACTCAATACTTTTGTTCTACGCGATGTACGTAAGCGGTAATTCCAAGTAATAAATGATTAATAAAACTATTTTTTTTCATAGATTCGAATAATTCTTACCCTGGCCCTGGCTACTCAGAGAAGAATAACTGGAGAAGAGGACTCTCAAAACAAGCAAAGTCCTGTTGCTCCAAGAAGACTCTTTTACGAAGGCTTCCCATCCTATCCTGGCTTCCCAGCTACAGTTTAAGGAATGGTATAGCTGATGCCATAGCAGGTAACCTAATAATTATATCAGAGTATATTAATTTTTTTTTTTTAGTCTAGATTAGAGCAACACACGCTGACATTTTTTAAATAACTCAAAAGTCAATTATTTTCTTATAAAAAAATATAAATTCTGGTTTTTGTCTATTAATCTCGCTTAATTTTTACTCAAGACATGGAGTGAAAACCCTTTTTACCCATGTTACTAGCTATTAAGCATGCGAATTGTCAGTACTGGTTTTATCACTATACATTCTAAGTAATTCATTATAACTATTACAATTTTTTTATACAATAGTGACAAAAAAAAAAACGATAAAACGAAATAAGTCATGGTTTTTGAAAACTAATGCGCGTGCATAACTGTTAAAAAATTAATTTGGAATTCCTAACCAAGGAGAAGATATTTGAGGTCAAAGTCACCAGTACAACAAAATGCCGATTTCATATGTAAAGATATAATAAAGGTATCAATAAACGGCTCAAATATAAGAGTCTTTCCTCCAACTTCGATTTTGTTGTCTTGAGCCCTTGGGTCCTAATTAAAGATTTAAGTTGGTACCTGGTAGATAGTATTGGTGACCCCAGAGCTGGTGCTTTCCTCGGTCAACGAATAAGGATTGCAATACAGCGAGTAAATGCTTCCAGCGTTAAAGATAACTGCCACAGGGAACACTTTTTAAATTTGTTTTAACTTTCAATTTAATTGTAAATAATTATAAAGCTTGATTATTATTTTACTACGTAGGTTAAGAATATGTTAATAATAAGTAAATACTGTATATTTGTGTGTTGGAATAAATCTACTTTCTACTATAAAGTTCATGATACACGCATAAATTATAATATGAATAAAGTTGTAGAATCACTTTAAGTTACCTGTTTTCTAAATAAAAGCTAAACATGTTTTACATAATTATTGCTCCAAGTAAATTTATGCTATATAACATAGGTCCTTAAGACTAAAATAATCTTTCAATGCTTTTATACTTTATCATCAATACACACGACGGACATTTATTTTTAATTTGTGTGAACAAAACTTATATCAGAACAATTCGTCGTGTACCACAAAATAATTGCAAATTGTTTTATTTTATCGTAAATGGGTCATTGTCAAATTTTGCGCAGGTAACGGTAACCGCGACTAAAAATCATAAAATTATAAAAAAATAAAATTGCTCAAACGTGATTTTTAGTTTTAGTTTTAAGAAAACAGAGTTGTAACACAGTAACGTAGTTGTTCTTTCTGTGTATCTTACATGACTAAATTGCACTCAGTTGAGCTTGTGATCTTAATAACGTAAATATAAGCTTAAATATTAATAACAATAAACTTTGTCACCGGCATTTACAAATCTATAGCTTAGCTTTATAAAAAAATAAGCAAATATTCTTGAAATGGTAACTGGGAAATGAAAGTTACTAATTTTTCAAATATGTATGTCTAAACCTTATCAAAATTGTAGTTCTATTAGATTCTGGAACAATAGCAAGTAAATTATCGAAAGACACAAGATGAACCAGACTCAACTAATTTGAATTTTGTTGCAGTATGATCGATTGACTTTAAAAACATAAGTTTACCATCTTCTCAGACATACAAAATCCTGTTTTAAGGTGGAAATTTTAACCAAGACACAAACACCTAGTTTTTTATTGACATGAATATTTTCTTTCTCGATCAAAGCATCGTCATTTTCTTTTGACTTGCCGGGTTTTTCTGACAAATAAGTGATAGACGGTTTTTCTTTCAATGATATAAGAGGAGCATCATCATCGGAATCTAGGCTGGAGACAATGTGGTAAAATCCTTTTGGTTTGGTCGCTAATGACAAATATTGCTAATATCAGACAGAAAACTGTTGTCGCAAGTGGAAGAAATTTATTGTTCCACTGCAGGTTTTGATTTTTTTAACGGAACATAATGCTTAAGATTGACGCAAGAGCAAAAGCCACGCTGACAAAAACAACTTAAATTTCTATATTTAATTACTCCAGCCTCCTCAGTGAAAACATGATAGACTTTCATGGTATATACTAATGGCACAATATGCTACGGAATAAGATTTGACCTCTGCTCAATATTCTCATTATTTATCAGATGTCTCACTTTACAACATCATTCAAAGCAAAATAAAAATTTGTAGCATCAGATATATCCCTTCCAGATAACTATAATTTTCGCTAAAGTCATTGTGCAACTGCAATATAATTTATGGCCAAGCCATCTATACATTTTCTATATATTTTCGACGCGTTGGTAACAGAGTCGCACAGTATTAGGGTAGTAAATTTTACATTCTATAACACATAAATGATACAATAAAGAGTAAATTACACTTTTTCTTTCATGTTTACATTATTAACCTATTTGACAACATATAGACTCTAAAATAATGTAAAATACGTTGATTATTTGCGTTAATAGGTAGGTAACATAGTTGACGCATAATAAAATACGCAGCAGGATGAAGCCCCAGCTCTACTGTATTATGATGTGTTGACCACATCATAATACAGACATCCCACCTAAACTAGTACAAAGTCTAAACAACTCCATCGCTATTTGAAGTTTCGATTTACTCAGTAACATAGTATTCCTGACAGATTCACATAGTACGCGGGACAAAGTTTAAAAAAATTGTTATTAAGTAAATTTCGATGTCTACCGCTTTTACAGCATATTTTATAAATATTAACAATGCTCTTTTTATGTTAATAATTTATTTAAGGTAGGTTGATATAGTATAAAACGAAAATATTTGATGTTCATTATAATGACGTGGTACCGGGACATATAGATTTTGTAAGGAAAACCTTTCTGTTACCAAAAATTACCACAATGTTACTGTACCAAAACACAAAAAAAACAAAACTATCTCTTTAGTTTAGTTTTGAATTTTTATTAATGAGGTGTATTTTGTATTTAATATAAATTTTGAAAGATGATATATAGTTATTACTAATAAAACAATAATCACAGTTGAGGGACTAGGTTACCTGCGCGAAATTTGACAATGACCCAAATAGCTTTCCTTTTTCATAAAATACTACGATATTAAATTATCAACTGTAGCATGGTAAATAGCCTAGTCCAGAAGCAAAAAGTTCGCTTGCTTTTTAATATAATCATAATTATGTAAGGAATGTTTGAATGTCTAGTTTACAAATAAACTATTTAGTTTATTTGTAAACTAGACATTCAAAAGATTTGTAAACTAGACATTCAACATAACAAAAGTTTATTGACATTACAGACTGCGCAATAGTTACGACCTTAAAGCGATAAAAAATCGCGTAGCAAAGTGTCGTGAAATCACAATTTCGATTGCACAGTGATGCAAGCACTAAAATTCATCTAGGTTGCACTTGGACACTAGAAACGCTATTCAGTGTCCGAATAAGGCGAGGCCATTACATAAACCTAATGTGTTTGTGGTTTCGTTGTTATTTTCGAAATTTGTTCATGAATTATGTTAATTTTCAGTTATATTGACTAATTTAAATATTGCTAAGTTGTTATAAAGAAATAAAATAAAAATGTGTTTATTCATTATAAGTATGCATTACAATGTGTAAGAACCCTTTTAAGTAAGAACTACTCTGTGTGGGTAGAGAGATAGAGAGAGAGGGAAATTCTTTCAAAGAGAAACAGAAAGAAGTACATGTCTCCTCTGGCTACTAGGATTATAGGAAAACTTCACGCGTCAATCGTCAAGAAAATTACATAATTGAAGCATTAGTTGATAACTTCCCATTGTCCATTGTGAACTTGGAAATGTAACAAACGGTAATTAAACCATACCCAGAATCATTAAAAGTGGAGACATGTTTGAATCCGCTACCTGAAAACATTTAGATTAATATTTCGCGTTATTATCTCTGCGTATATATATCTGAATATATTTGGATAGATGCTTGTTATAATTTTTATACGTACCAAGTTCAACAGCAGAATTCGGAACATTGGCATTGGAAGTATCTATGTTTGTCGGTATTAAGGGCCTAATATTTTGAAAGCCTCCCAAACGTTTAACGTTCCGTAAAAATGTGAAGAAGAATTCTAATACTTATAATATTTATAATAAGTCTATATTAGGGGAGCGCGGGGCTTGTTGTTACAGGGGTAAATAGTAACAGACCTTTTTCAATAGGAATTTGAATTTTATTCACGGTTTTTTTTTACCTAATCTTCAACTTATAACGTGCCACGCCACTTTACCACAGCCAGGGTCCTACCAGGCGGCTCAGTGAGTGGGTGTGTGCAAACGCTTAATTGTTGACAGGAAACCTATAATTTTACTAACGTAAATTTTTGGTTAGTTTCACTATTTTCGTAACTTTGAAGTTTTATGTATTTTATTTTATGCTAAAATATAACTATTTATGATGTTGTATAACAGTTTTCAAGATTACTAAGTTAATTTAATAGTTATCGTGATAAATATTAAGAACTCTATCAAGGGGCTAGTTGTAACAAAACCTCGGGGTTTGTTGTAACATGTTACAATTTGCCCCCAGATTGCTGTAAGTTACTGACGGCCGATGTTCAGTTTTCCCCGGCTTAAATACTCACAAATGTTCATTCGCGGTGGACCTGAAGATTGCATTGGAGCTGGCAATTCTTCAGGGTGGAGGATGACTGATAAAGAATTTTTGATTTTTGTAGATCACTTTATCAAACACGCGAAACCTACCAAGAAAGAGCCAGTTCTGTTACTGCTCGATAATCATGGCTCACATGTGAATGTTGTCTCTCAGTTGTGAGTAGTGTCAGCTCAGTTGTCGAAAAAGCCAAAGAAAACAATGTTATCATGTTATAGTTTTCCTCCCATTGCTCCCACAATTTTCAACCTATGTATGTAGGAGTCTACGGGCCTTTTAAAAACTACGTGAACAGAGCACAGACTGCATGGATGTATAATAATCCAGGAAAAACGATGACAATTTATGACATCCCAAGTGTAGTGAAGGAGTCATTATCAGTGGACTTAAAGCTTCTGGTATTTGGCCTTTGAATGTTGATATTTTCCAAGATAGTGACTTTGCGCTCTCTTATGTTACTGATCATCCAGAGCCTACATAACAATCAGAAAATGTTCTAAATGAAAGTGAGAATTTCTTTATCGTTGAGTCTTAAACATCCAGAACTATTAGATTCTGCTCCTGAAGTGGATATCAGCACAACAGAAATTATACGCCACATTGAAACTGCGAACAAACTAACTCCAAGTTGCTCTGGTCAAAATCAATTTTTCCCATCAAAAGTTAGACCATTACCAAAGGCGCCACCACGAAAAACAAATATAAATTGCAGACGCAAAAGGAAGTCTGCTGTTCTGACTGATACGCCTGAAAATGAAGCTTTGAGAGTAGAATATGAAGAAAAGATGAAGAAAATGCAAAAAGAAGATGATAAAGAAAAGTGAAAGGGGAAGGAAAAGTTAACAAATCTGCGATGGTAAGATGTAAGGTAGAACTAAGAGATAAAATGATCCAAGATGTGAAAAAATTAAACGATTGAAGGTGTCATTTTTGTTGTTACAACTAGCCCCAACCACGGGGTAAGTTGTAACACTTCTCTTTTTTAGAAAAAAATAATTGTGAGATAGTTACCTGTAGATTTGATAATATTTCGATTCGACTTCATAGATAAATAGTTAGAGTATCGATCAAAGTTTATTTAGTAGTAATTTAGCCAATATTCTTCATGATATTCAATTATTTGTTAAAATTGTTACAACTAGCCCCACGCTCCCCTACTATTATGATGGTTGCTTAGTCATAATTATTAGTTATTATATTGTAAAATGTTACGAATTCATTACCCCTCTTTATTTACAGGACTCACAGTAGGCCTAACAGTTATACCACAAGCCATAGCCTACGCGGGCGTAGCAGGCCTACCCCCGCAGTATGGGCTATATTCTTCATTCATGGCCTGCTTCGTGTACACAGTCTTTGGATCTGTGAAGGACTCAGCCATAGGCCCTACGGCCATCGCGGCCATTCTAACGAGAGAAAACTTGCATGGCCTAGGCCCTGAGTTTGCTGTCCTACTGGCCTTTCTCTCTGGGTGCGTCGAACTTGTTATGGGCATTCTTCAACTAGGTATGTAGAATTTAAGATTATTATGTAACGAATAGGCTTCAAATTAGGACAGGTGAATTGGAAATTCTAGTCCATTCTTGGGATTGATGAATTCTACAAATTTTGATGCGATAATTAAGAGTTAGCCATATCTAAATTACTTTTCCTTACCGGTACGGCACTCCAAGCCGTCGCCCGAGTTTTGCAAAACCTGGAATTTTTTGACTGTATTATACCAAAATATACTGTTTACGATCAATTCTTTCTACCTTATTATGAAGTTTTATAAAAATAGATTTGAAATACTTATTCCATAAACATATCCAAGAATACAAATTCGTTATTTAAACTCAAAATACTGTTTTTATTTCAAATAAATAAAACCCCAATAGCCATAGCATAACCACAACCACGCGAATAAACAGATCTATGGCCGAGAAGCTAAACAGCAGGGGACGGTAAAATCTGCCCTTTCCTAAAAAGGGACTTTATTTAAATAAAGAAATAGAAATATTCCTATTATGGGCCCGCTGGCCGGTGGGAACAGCGTCACGTCTACCTAGTGGTATTTATCCTACTGACATATTTGACCGTGACGTTTACGTAGGGACTTCAGCTGTTTTAACAACAACAGTAAGGTAGTTGATGTTAAGTCATAAAACAACAATAGTTGCAGTCATAAAACAAAACAACATTGGTTTTATGTCAAACCTATATCTAATAGATAATACACGGTTTCTTTGATTTCATTTACACTATTCATTATATTATTTTGCAATTAGTTACATACGTGTATGTAGTACAATATTCTGTTGCTATTGTATATGAATACAACAATAACATACCAACATTCCTCTGTCATATGGGAACTGAATCGTTCTATTTATTTTACCACTCTTAATATAATAAGCATTGAAATGTTGGATTAATTAATGGAACTAGGATATTAGCAATGCGTATTAGTCTCTTCAAGACGAAACAATTAATAATTATTTAACAATTAACAATTAAGAATATATTGGTTAAATTTACATATTTAATTCGCATATGTACGATAGAGTTTACATAGCTATGGAGTAAGTTTTATGCCAGTGAGTCAAGAGTTAGTAACGGTTCAGGCAAGAGACATTCCTACTGTCCCTTTTTTCTAGAAAAAAGAAGTAGTAGAAAAAAGAAATTTTGACCCAGAAATCACCGAAAAACTGTACAATAACCTCCTTTACTTATAAGAATATAAACTCCCACATAACCTCAAATATTTTCAAAATAAGGTAAAACATCTTCCAGGTTTTCTAATTGACTTTATAAGTGGACCAGTCTCCGTGGGCTTCACATCTGCCGCGGCTATTATCATTGCGACAACTCAAGTCAAGGATATCCTGGGACTCAGTTTTCCTGGAGGAAAGTTTCTTCAGGTGAGTGCTTTAAACCGAGTTATTCTGTATTGTTCTTTAGGCGATGAAGCTATATACTAATAGGCACTCAAGTTTTTAGCGTATAAAAATACTATTTCATATAAACGAAGAATAAGAGACTTTCCTCCAACTTTGGAGAAGACTCTTGGGCCGTGGTGTGTAAGTGCACAGGAGCTAATTAAAGATTTAGGTTGGCGCCTGGTAGACAGTACCGGTGACCTTAGAGCTGGTGCTTTCCTCGCTCAACGGATAAATATCGGATAAGTATAAAGGCCGCTTCACACATATCAGTGAAGCCACGGTTCCGTCAACGTGTCCGCTCAGTTCAGTATAAGTGATACAGTATTGCGTCAGTCATTCAATTCACACATGTCAGTACTCAGTTTACGGAGCTTTAGTGAAAACGTGTCCGTCGCGTTGTCAAGTAACGTGATTATGGCTCTGTTCAATACTACGGAGCTAGCAATGATAGCTGTTGCTTTAGACGAAGAAGAAGAGCAGCATCAAGGAAAAAAAAGAAAATGGGTGCATGAAGCATGGCAATTAAGAGAGACGGAAGGAGAATTCATCATATTATACAAAGAATTAGTTAAAGAAAATATTTTAAAATGTCAGAGAGCTGCTTCAATATTCTTCTGCAATAAATAAAATGTAACAAATAATAACGCGGCGTCAGTGATCCGACAAAAAATATCGTTGTCAACGAATCCGTCCGTGATTGCCGGTGTAGGCACTGACACTGAGAGCACTGTGTCGTCACTGACACTGACAAGTGGGGATGCGTTCATAGAGAATGAAAGAATATTTCGCACTGTGCCGGTACTGTGTCGGAACTGTGGCTTCACTGATATATGTGAATCGAAGGTCGATCGATGCTGCCAGCATTAAACACACACACAAACTACACACACACATAAAAAGTTTGGGGACCTACCTTTTTAAATTTGTATTATTATTACTATGTAGATTTACAATACTGCATATTTAATAAAATATAATAATTTATCAATTATATTATGTACAAAATCAAATCAAAAATATTGACACACATACAGAAATATCCTTGTTCCGTGACCCACATGAGATTTTTTCCAAGTTAAAGCAATATAAAGTTATAATTAAATGTATGTCCATTCGATAAGCACCGGCTTTTTATATCTTAAAATGTATTTTTTTAGTTTGACATTCTAATGGCCTTCGACGCTCTCATTATGTTTTTTAGTAGCCCTTGAATTCATCGTCACTTGAACAATTTAGTATTATCATTCAATAATTACGATAGCAGTACACAATTGTACTGCTGCCAAAATGACCAATTTTGTAACAAATTAACGTAACAGAATAATTTTATCACAATTTTCAATTGTCGTGCATACAGCCTTATTCAGATTAGTAAAGTTTCAATTTGTAGAAAGAAAATAGTTTCTTTTAATCTATAGCAATTTGTTACTTTAGGATATAATAGTGCGGAAGTAACTAAAATTCTTAAAACAAAGCGTGAGTATTAGTGAGTAAACTATAAAAATATTGATTTACTAAGAACCTATTATAAATGTGCTGAAGTATTTTAGAAATGTCTAGTCACAAGACTGCAAAACAACATCTATATCTCTGGTATATATTTATTTAGATTAGATTTTTTAGGTAGGTAACTTACATTAATATAAATTTTATCATATGTTTAATGTCACTTATTGCTTTTTAAAACGCTTATCTATCGACATAATATAACTAAAAGTTTATCATAGATCGTATTAAGCAACGGGTGTAAGTTTCAGTTTTATGCTTAAAGTTGCAGACAGACAAATAATAATTTACCAATTCTTAAAAGTCCGCCATCGCACTCGCGATCCTCCTGGCATTGAGATAGTCCATGGGCTATCACTTAACTTCAGGTAGGCCTCCTGCCAGTTTTTTCCGTTTCAAAAAAAGGTGTTGCATCAGAATTCAGAACCCTGTTAATGTCATGATCATCGGGGCTACAGCTCGGACCTTGGCTTGATCGAGCAAGAACATCCAGCCGGTAGATTCTATTAATGTATTATTATGAATTTCAGGTGTGGTCTGGAATTTACGAGCACATAGGAGAGACAAGATTATGGGACACAGTATTAGGATTTTCGTGTATCGTAGTGCTGCTTTTACTAAGGGTAAGTTCAGTAGAGTTTAATATCAAAAGTAAAAGTCGCCGTTATTAATCATATATGTTCTCACAATGGACCTTCTAGGAACATATATGCCAAACCTTACCTTCATTGTATTGTTAAATATAGATGAAATTAATATCAATATAACTGTTGGACTTGACTCTATGAACCTTATATTTATTTTAAATACGCGGTTAATATAGCGGGTCAAAATTAATTTATTTTGCCTAACTCTTATATTACGATACATATTATATGATAATTATTCTTAGACTAACGGTACATGCTTTTAGCCGCGTTAATTCGTTCGTCACGTAATTTAGCCTTACTAGGCAACAGGACAAACGCAACTGCTTTTTCAATTCCAAACCATAAGTTCTTAGTAGCTTACCCTTACCTAACAATAAATTATATATTGTACGAGTTTAATCCGTGTAAGATCTTAAACACGTGTAATGAACAGACGATAACTGAGGTAATTGTGCGTGAACGTTAAATAACTAACATTTTAACTTCCTGTTGCAGACGTAATTGCAAATGTGTGCTATAATTTTATAAATTATATCGCTAAAAAAAATGTTTCGGCAAAATTGTCATTTAATCTTCGAATAATATTCAATTACCAACGACCATTAGCACTGTGGGTCAGTTCACAATATATATACCTGATATATAGTGTGAAGGAAGGAAAGCTCTTCCTTAAGGGAAGATCTTTGACTGATATAATCACTGATTGGCTTGAAGACCCCGGTGGCTAAGGTTGAGAAGAGAGAGGTATATCCTTAGCGGTCGAAATAAGTTCAGATTATGACGTCATCGCAGTGATTGTAGCCGTAGATTGTAGGTGTCGCTACAATAGATACTATAAAATTGGGATAATAATTGGATTGGCTTGCTTTGGAAAATATTCCCGGTGTGCAGTATAACATTAAAAAACGTGTGGCACTCGGGGACTGCCGCGGTAAACCTATTGCATAGCATTTTTTATCAACTTATGCAGTTATAATTATTTATTTATGCAGTATTTGTTTTTCTTTGATAGTAATTCAAGTTTTTCCTTTGATATTACTTCAATCTACCACTCTACCAGACTCAAACTAAAACGCCTATATAGTCTGTCTCACTCTAACGCGTACCTGCTGCACCGGCCGCGCTCAAGCTACGTCACCGATCTCGTCAGAGAGATGGGAATGCGGAGTATGCGTTCTTTCCCACTCTAACGCGTATTTGCCGCACCTATATTACGTCATCGTGTGTTAGGTTTTTTTCGTTACGGAATTTCTTGATTCGGTCGCCGTGCTCTAAGCCCGCGATAAAATCGATACAATAGCTTAAAACTATTTTAACTAAGTAACTAAAAAGTTCCAAAAGTTATTATTGAACTATCAGAATTGTAAAATCAAATATCTTACGTAGCTTAAACTAAGAACCACGCCTCTTTACCTCTCGTACTAACTAGCAACTATATCGACTAATAAATAATACAATAATTTATTATGGGGAATAAGTTAATAGAGGCTTTGAAAAAAGCTAACATTTACGGGTTTTCTTTTCGTTTTTTCTTTCTGTTTTTTCAGTATGTTACTCATAGTCTGCGAATTCGACACATATGTCTCAGATAAAAAATAAACACAAGATTTGAAAAAACCATAAATAAGCATGTATGTAATAATTGGATATGTGATGTCTAGAAAAGACGTTAGCAATTAAAGAACGATTAGGTATTTAGCGTGCGAACTTCCTGTTTATGTCACTGAAGTAGTATTAGCGATAAACGTCTTTAACTAAAATTACGCAAATACTGACTTAATATGGTACTGATAGACTAATAATAATAAATAATGTTTCTTTTGGCCCGGAATTATGAATAAATTCATGGTGTAGTTTGATCATGAAACTTGTAAACATACATACTATTATACTGATTTATTTAATGTCGAAAAAGGTTCGTCAATAACATGAACATCACGCGCGAAATCACGATAAATAGTACCATTACATGAAAATGTTTGTTGTTCTTACTACAAAAAAAAAACATGGCGATTAAAAAGAGTGGCGGAGATATTCCCAGTTCTTCTCTTCCGTTCTACGCCCTTGATTTGAGAACTGGCACTAAATGTAAAATTAGAAGCATTAATATGTATTTCTTTACTGACAAGTCATAAGTATACAATGTGTTACCTATATGATTAAATGATTTTTGAATTTGAATTTACAGACAATACTGTAGCTTTATAGTGCCATTGTGGTATAATAATTATGATGAATTTAGTTACTAATAAATTTTTTCTATTGCATTAAAGAAACAATAATTATTTCCAGTCTTTCAAATCATAGTGATAATCACAATCTTCCGGATTTTATATTAGTTTTTACTGTTCTTTTCCTTGCTAGTTTGTAATTCTGTGTGTGTAAAATTTCTTACGTCATATTTTCTTGCATGCATGTTTTAGGACTTATAAATAAATAACTTCTAAACAATTATTTCAGAAAGTAAAAGATATAAAAATAAGCGATTCGTCGGACAACACGAGTGAGGTGGCTGGTATTGAGGAGACTGTTGGTAGCAGTAGTAAGGTCCGCGCTGGAGCCTCGCAAGCTCTATGGTTCCTCTCCACTACAAGAAACATTCTAGTCGTTCTACTCTGTTCCGCGTTAGCGTACTACTTTGATACAAAAAACCAGGTGCCGTTCGTGTTGACTGGTAAGTCGATGTTTGGTTTTGTCCAGAAAATAACTAAAGGGAGGGATTCTACTTTATTTACGTAATTTTAGTTATAGTTACATGTGTATGAGTTTTTTTTTGTTAATTAATTATACTTCTTTTACTTTACCCGCTGTAAGTTTTACCTTTTTTTATTGTTCCATATTAGGTTAGGTACTTATGTAACCTGATTTTTTTATATGTATGATTTTGTATATTATGGTAACGAAGTGTAAATAAATAAATAAGGGAGGTTGAATGATCTGGCTGGTTAAAAACACAATTCTGGGCTAAAAATCTTTTCAGCTTAAATAACAGTTAAACCAAACAAACGAAGGAATACTTTGAAAACATTATATACATTGTGTCTTAGCTGTAAAATTAGTAGAAGATAGATAAAAAAAAATCGCTAGCCCTATTTTCCAATTAAGTTCCATAATTTTAATAAAATACACTACTCTATTGAATTTTTTCAGGAACAGTGAAGCCGGGATTGCCAGAATTTTCCCTTCCGCCATTTTCAGCGACTGTCGGCAACCACACATACACATTCATGGAGATGACGTCGACCCTCGGATCAGCGATATTCGTGGTTCCTCTCCTCTCTATATTGGAGAATATAGCACTGGCTAAGGTTTTCTGTAAGTATATGCAAACCAATTAATATTTTAATATTTTTGATGTTGTATAATTTTCCCATGTAAGCGATACATCATTTCGCTCATAAAAACCGGCAACGCACTCGCGAGCCTTCAGGCATTAAGAGTGGCCATGGGCGGCGGTATCACTTAACATTAAGGAGCCTCCTATAAAAAAAATACGTTAAAATGGGCCCAACTCAGCTTTAACTACGGCGTTTACGGGTAAAGTATCTGTAATTGTGTCCAAGAGGAATTACACAAATGCCGTACAGTAATAAATGACCTATATTGCTTCTGCAACTATCGTCGAATTAAAAATTTGCACCGACTTCCGGCACCATCACTTTAGTACGGCACTAGGTTTTTCGACATTTATTGAAGTTATACTTCTTTAGGCGCGTTATGAAAAATTTATGAGAGTGAAATTTTACGATGCGCGCGCACCTGTGACACAAAATTGGGAGTGTGATTATAGCGTGCGCGAGCGAGATAGGAATAAGACAATCTACAAGTAAAAAGAAATAGAATATGCGTGAAGTTCGTATGCCAAGAATTTTGAATGACCATAATGACATTTGTCATTTACCTTTTAAACAAATAAAGGAGTTTTGATTAATTTTTCAAAGAAATTTATTAATTTTATATTGTGCAATACTGCCAAAGCTACAACATACTTCTTAGTGTTTGGTAGAGATGTTCTAAATATATAATTATATATACTTTTAACTAAATAGAATTTATGTTACACTTAATGTAAGAGAATAATAATAAATAATTATTTATTTAATTTTTCAAATGTAAACTGAACCTTATTGACTATAATGACTCCTTTTCCAGTCTTTGATTATTTAATTGTAATTAATTATTTGCATGCAATCAAAAACTATTTTTAATAATGCCAAAGAAGTATAACTTCTTACGCGCGTACATAAGTACACGCACCCTTTTTTTTAAATCATCTATACACTATAACAAAGCCGTACATTAATAATAAGTCGAAATTTCTCATTTGTACCTGAGAAATTCCATTCACTCACGTACTCACATGTACCGCTCAGAAATGACGGCATAGTGCTCAGAGTTATTTTCTGATATAGTAACAGTCTTCTAAGCGTTATTCACGTTGGTTCATTTCACAGGTATTTTTTTTTCATGGGCTTGTGGTCTATAAGACCAAGTTAAAATAATTTCTTATCTCTCTAGGACCACAATTTCTACAAGAATTTCTCTTTTTTAGATAATTACAAATTGTTTTTTAAAATACTTAATACTTATTATGAATTATTACAGCGGAAGGTAAACGCGTAGACGCCACTCAGGAGATGATAGCCCTGGGCGTGTGCAACATTGTGTCATCGGTTGTGGATTCGATGCCTGTGTCGGGTGCTTTGTCTCGTGGGGCTGTGAACCACGCGTCTGGGGTCGCCACCCCAGCTGGTGGGGTTTACACTGGGGTACTGGTTTTGCTGGCTTTGCAGGTGAGAAATAAAGCCTTGTAAACATGGTCCGTGTTTTACAAGCAAGTATTTATAGCTGCTAGCTTACGTGAACTTCATAAATTCCGATCTCAATATTAATTTCGTATTTCGTCATACCACCATAGATAAATTGTAAGATAAATCTCTGTAAATTAGTCAATTATTGAAATCTCTATTAAAGTTTTATGGTAACCTTGGTGCTCGCATAACTGGGACACATGTTGCAAAAGAACTGATTTCAGTTCAAACAATTTGTATGACTCAAAACTTAGCAATTAAAAAGAGTGGCGGAGAGTTTCTTGCTAGTTCTTCTTGCCCGCTCTACGCCCTTGACTTGCGAACTGGTAGTAAATGTAAATTTAGAATTAATTTAACTTCTTTTTGACCTTCGTAAGTGTACTTGTTTACCTGTATGAATAAAGTTATTTTAAGTTTGAGTTTGATTGTTTGCAATGAAATTATATCGATATTTCAGTACTTCACGCCATACTTCTATTACATTCCGAAAGCTTCTCTTGCGGCGGTGATCATCGCGGCTGTCGTCTTTATGATGGAGCTGCACGTGTTTAAGCCTATTTGGAGGACTAAGAGTATGTACTGGCTCTCACTTTACATCATTTCGTTACGTTTAAAAAAGGATTAATTTGCCTAACTCATCAGCTTACCAAGATTTTTGGGTATAAAACATGGGGTACACGGTTTCCTGAGATAATTGAAAAAACGTTTAATCTGTCAAAAAACTTTACTATATTGCTTTATATACCTTAATAGTATGTTTACATGTTAAAGTAGTTTTATTATATTATATTTTATACAATATTGTTCAACCTTTTTTTTACATTTAGCATCACGATAAATTCGTGATATATTTATTTTATGTATGCAAAAAAAGACAATAGTTTTCGTGTAGTATTTCTAGAGTAGGAACAGTGGAATTCTAAACAAAATTGTCCATCGAATTCTTTTTTTTTAATACAAATATTTATGTGTGAACACATATTTTTCACAATTTTAATAAAAAAGTTAATAATACTTCTATAAAAAAAATTACTACCTAATGAATAAATGATTAAAAAAAAACAAAGTTTGCAATGTTAGGTACCTACCGACTTTGTACCTACAAAGTGGAAACAGTGGAATTCTAAACAAAATTGTCCATCGAATTCTTTTTTTTAATACAAATATTTATGTGTGAACACATATTTTTCACAATTTTAATAAAAAAGTTAATAATACTTCTATAAAAAAAATTACTAATGAATAAATGATTAAAAAAAAACAAAGTTTGCAATGTTAGGTACCTACCTACTTTGTACCTACAAAGTGGAAACAGTGGAATTCTAAACAAAATTGTCCATCGAATTCTTTTTTTTTTAATACAAATATTTATGTGTGAACACATATTTTTCACAATTTTAATAAAAAAGTTAATAATACTTCTATAAAAAAAATTACTAATGAATAAATGATTAAAAAAAACAAAGTTTGCAATGTTAGGTACCTACCTACTTTGTACCTACAAAGTGGAAACAGTGGAATTCTAAACAAAATTGTCCATCGAATTCTTTTTTTTTTAATACAAATATTTATGTGTGAACACATATTTTTCACAATTTTAATAAAAAAGTTAATAATACTTCTATAAAAAAAATTACTAATGAATAAATGATTAAAAAAAAACAAAGTTTGCAATGTTAGGTATCTACCTACTTTGTACCTACAAAGTGGAAACAGTGGAATTCTAAACAAAATTGTCCATCGAATTCCTTTTTTTTAATACAAATATTTATGTGTGAACACATATTTTTCACAATTTTAATAAAAAAGTTAATAATACTTCTATAAAAAAAATTACTAATGAATAAATGATTAAAAAAAAACAAAGTTTGCAATGTTAGGTACCTACCTACTTTGTACCTACAAAGTGCAACAGTAGGAATCTGTTATGGACATCCGTGACAAGTGTCGAAGAGCAGTCTTCAAAGTTGACTTTATGTATAATAAATTCGTGTTATTTACAGAAATGGATATAATCCCAGCAGTGGTGACGTTTGCCACATGCCTTCTAGCGAGGCTGGAGCTGGGCATAGTCGCAGGGATTGCTGTCAATCTTCTCTTCCTTCTTTACGCTTCTGCCCGACCGTCTGTCAGGGTGTGTAGGGCTGTGGTAAGTTTGTGAAATGTTTTTAAAGTAAAATCACTCTATTAACACTATTTTAAAGTTCCTCTTTTTTTGTCTACGATCTGTTGTAGTTAAAACTAGTACATACATCATTCCATTTATCCCTCCTTTCAGAAGAATGCGATTTGTCCAAAACTCAGATATCCAGAATGAGCATTCTTATTAACGAGGCCTGGATATCCATCTAGCTATCCATTAGTTTTGAAATCAATTTTCCTTTAATTTATAATTTACGAATCATTGCATTTTTTTGTTTGTTTTTGTTACATTAAATATTGTCTTTATTTATGTACCAATGTATGAGGGTGTTCAGCGTTGGCAAGCTGTTGTAATAAAAAAATATAATGAATAAGCGGGTTAATATTTATATTATATCACTTTCAATCATTTAAATTTTTGCCAGACGTTTGCTATAAGTAATTTTAATATAATAAATGAATGCGTTTTAATGTAAGAAGTGTCTTTATGAAATTTATCTTCACATTTGTAAAACCATTTATAAAAACGAAATCTTTCGTCTCTTTCTGTCCAGTCAAGTGACGGAGTGCCATACATTCTGGCGACGGTGGACCGAGCGCTATCGTTCCCTTCGGCGGAGTTTGTTCGACGCGCCTTACGCAAGGCTCCTTCGGATGCCCCTCTGGTGCTGGACGCACATCACGTTCAAGCCGCTGACTTCACTGCTGCTAAGGTGATTATTAGCCGACTTTAAAAGAGAAAGTCTGATATTGTTGAAATTTACTAAGTATTAGCAATGTACAGAGCGGATTCAGCGTGGGACTCTCATCCATGAGGTCGTAGATTCGATTCTCGGCTGGGCACCAATGGACTTTCTTTCTATGTGCGCATTTAACATTTGTTCGAACGGCGAAGGAAAACCGGCTTGCCTGAGACCCAAAGTCGACGGCGTGTATCAGGCACAGGAGGCTAAACACCTACTTGGCTATAAGACAAATGATCATGAAACAGATTCTGAAATCTGAAGACCAGTCCTAAAAAGGTTGTAGCGCCACTGATTTATTTTTTGAAGTTGTACTTCTTTAGGCGCGTTATGAAAAATTGATGAGAGTGAAATTTTACGATTGCGCGCGCACCTATGACACAAAATTGGCAGTGTGATATAGCGTGCGCGAGCGAGATGGGAATAAGACAAACTACAAGTAAAAGAAATAGAATATGCGTGAAGCTAACTTCACGCATATTCTAGCTTAGCAGCTTAACAAGAATTTTGAATGACCATGACAATTGACATCTGACAATGACATTTACCTTTTAAACAAATATAGGAGTTTTAATTATTGTTTAAAATTAATAATTATATACCTAGTTATTTTCATTATACAAAATATTTGTGAAATAATATAAAATATTTGTGAAAAAACTGTGCTAACCTTCCTGAGTGCTTCAATACAATTGAGGTTAACTATCCGTATGTATTATCGAGTATTATTGTTGATTAAAACTGAAACATGAACCATTATTAATTGCTTTTGTTTATTGCGTTTGTTACAGCAACTTTTTAGAAATATTCTACGACCCTATATATCAATAATTGAGAACAAAGTTTTAAGCACGAATACTAATAAGGAGAAAATGAAGGCTTGGAGCGATATAACAGAGAAGTAAACATTTTAATAAGTACCTGCATCTCAAAAAAATGACCACATTATTTAATCAAAACATCAGATTTAATCTAGCAAATATAAGGACAAGAGACAAAAAACAATTGATGAATCAGTGGAAGTGCACTAAATTGAATACAAAAAAAGAGTTGTCATCTTATCGCCGTGAAACATCAAAAACTGGAGGTGGAACAAAGCCACCATCACCTTCTCGAGACACAATGGTTTGAAGTAGATTTCAATGAATTTGATTGTGATGGTGTCGAGGTAGGAATGTTAATTATAAATATGATGTATGGTGATGTTCAAGGTTCAACCTTTCAAGCATAGGCATATGCTTACAACATTACTTTATTCCCCTACAGGGTAGTTAGAGATATTGTAATACCTCAAAACATCCATGTTGCACTTGTAGTACCGAAACTCTGTCCTGCCAGAAGTGAGCCCATTCCCACTTATAATGGACAGTGGGTATAATACACCTTAATACCTGAGTGCGAACCACTCACCATGATACTTAAATTAATAGATGTTATTTATATATTTCAGGATATTACAAATAAAATCATTTTGGAAACAATTGATATCCCAAAAGCAAATAAAGCCAACAATGACAAGGTAATAAATCAGTTTTGACATAACTTGAATACTAAAAAAGCCAAACAAAGGTGTGCACAACAGTGACAACATAACTTAACAATTTCATTATTTTGTAGGATTAAAGAAAGGTTAAAGAAAATCATGTCGAACTGAACAACAAGAATCCCCAAACAACTCCAAAGAAACCTACAAGGAAGACACCGGTATTATATTTAAATTATCTCTATCTCTAAATAGAATAAAAGAAAGTTGCTATCCAGGTCTGTAGCATGTGCTACAAATTATATTATTAACACATTTATATAATTATATTAATATAAATGTGTTAAAAATTTATAATATGAATTATAAAAAATTTTAAGTTTTGCATGGACAGAGCTTAAATTAATATTCTCTTATTTGTTGCAGAAAGCAAGTAGTTTTGGAGAAGCCTCGTAGATGCACAACCAAGTAATGATTAATTTAAAATTACAAACCGAAATTCTGATGAAGACATTAGAGTCACTTAATAATAAATAGTATAATGAAATAAAAATGTTTTAAAGATAAATAGTGTTTTATTTGTTTAATGTAAGAGAATAATAATAAATATTTATTTAATTAATTTTTCAAATGTAAACTGAACTTTATTGACTTTAATGACTCCTTTTCCAGTCTTTGATTATTTAATTGTAATTAATTATTTGCATGCAATCAAAAACTATTTTTAATAATGCCAAAGAAGTATAACTTCTTACGCGCGTACATAAGTACACGCACCCTTTTTTTTATTTATTTTTATTAGATATGTACAAATTTCTCGCTAACAAAAACCTAAATTTGACAAGCTAAATTAAAATTTATGGTATCCACGCATATATGATATATGGGATAAATATATGTGAGCCGTTACAGGACGGATGGCAGATGAAAATTATTTTGTCATAAGACGGTATATCTTGACATAAACGTTTGCAGGGCATAAAATCCCTGATAGACGACTTCCACGCTCGAGGGCAAACAATAATCTTCTACAACGTTAAGCCGTCCATTGCCCACGTGTTTCGTGGAGTTCGTCCGCGGGAGTTCCTCATTTGCTCACATCGGGCCGAGTTGGATAGGCTTCTGCTGAACATCACCAGGGGAACGAAGCAGTCTTGGTGAGTATTTTTTTCATAATTAACACAGAATACTTTATATTTAAATAACTTACTAAATAATTTGACATTTTGTGTGCTTTGTAGACGCAAAAGATTATCTTCGCTCTGACAGATAACAATGTTAAGCTTTTACTTCAATTCATACATTTTTGGTGGAACAATAATTGTTTCTAGTTGGTAGAGTACACATTATGTGTAACTATTTAATTCTAATATGAATAATTTGTTTGTTATAGATTCGATCCTGTTCTAGTAAATGTGTTTCTAAAACTGGAAACATTAACCCTTGTGATATCATATAAGTATTAAATTGATAAAAATCTACAAATAAATTATTATGCAAGCGCTTTTACATATAAGATTGTGTAGTATTTTAATCAACTAGTTCTAATTGTAAAACGGTATATTTTAGCAAAGAAATATAAGTTTGTTTGACGTGCGCAAGACATATTGGAATAAAACTGATTAAAAGAATTCAAACGGGAATTTATTCACATAATTCGACATTGACCTATGTACTCCCGTGTTCTTCATTGGTGAAGGTCGCGCCTTTTGTAATGTTACTGCTGTCTTGCTAGTGATCTCTCCACTTTGTACGGTCTATAGCTATCCTTAGAACACCTGTTATGGGGATATCCGTGAGAATCGTGACTTTTGCCTTGAACCAGCTTGTCCAGGTTGAACGCACCCTTCAAGTATTACGTCACGCAATTTTTGGAGATTATTGGACCCCCCCCCCCATGTAACGTGCCGTACTACCTTACAGTTACCATTATGTGGTGTAAAGTACTGGAAAGTCGAAAATAATATTAACAAAAACGCGTAATTCAATCACCGCACCGCAGCGAAACGTTTTACAAAAGGACCCCCCCTTCCAAATTTCGTAACGTAATACTTGGTTACCGTACCTTATCTGGTTTGCGACGAGGGCGATATGACCAGTCAGTTAGAGTATGTCGTTGAGTCTCATACGAATACTTCAGTAAGGAACGTGAAATGTCAAGTTAATGTAATAAATTTGCGTTTCTATCCGTTAAATAAGATTTTTTAAGATACCATTTATATAAAACGACGAAAGAGTGAATCTACTATAGTAACTTAATCATTACCTTGTAAAGGCTAGTTATAAATCGACGATTTAGCTAAACCTAAAGAATTTAAAGTAGTTCTTAAGATTTTCATTTACTGTACTTCTTTCTACCTGTCTATGGACTTTAAAATTGTATATTGATGAATATAATTATATAAATTATTTTATAAAGGCGACTTTTGTTTTTATTTTAACCTTCCATGCAAAAACTACTTTCTACGTGCTTTATAGTTCTTGTAAAAATCAGTCTTACCAAATAAATTAAACCATGAAACGATTTACAGAGGAATAAACATTTACATGACTGGAATAAAAAAAAAGTATATGTGACAATATTAGTTACCAAGTTAACATTTCAGTTATGTAGTAGCCTTTTAAGGATATAAATTACCATATACTAATAAATAAAACGCACGTTGGAGATAATCATATTTATTTTACAATCCTCGATACATACGTGGCACAGTCCAAGCCGGACATTCATAAAAAACTTTTCGTTACAACTACCACAACATAACGTATAGGTACATCACTCGAATAGCTAACACTGAATTAAATCAGCCCATTCATTGCCTAAAGATCTTTTTCATACATTGATTTTATAATCAGAATAATCTAATCTTAGAAGATCAAACACGAGAAAATATTCAACTGAGTGGACAGTCTTTTTTAAGAGCTTTTGTATGAAAAAGATACCACAATAATTTCATTATGATTATCTAATCAACTCGTCTCTGAACGTCCAATTTCTATTTCAATAGATATTAAACTCGATCACTAGTTACGTACTAGGGATCACCCAAAACTAAAAATAATACAAGGAATCTTAAACATTTTGTGACTTATATAACACAAATGTGATGTAAATTTCGTCTTTATTTCGAAACTTTAAAAAAAATATTATTATCAGACGCGGCCAGCTGGCTGTAGGCAAAACCTAGACGCACAAAGTACCACAAATGGAGAATCCTAATTATTGAGCAGTGATATTTTCCTAGAGTTATTTTTTCCGACAAACTGAGCTTTGACCAATCTTAATAACTTACGATTAATTCTACAAAATGAATGTATTAAGTTAATCATCTATATTTAAAATATTAAATGCTCAAAAATAACGCGTTTTATAAATTATAAGAATGTCATTTGCTTTCTTGAATAAGTCAAAGTTAAAAACGAAGTTATTAAGGTTGGGCCATTGATATACAAAAACCCAAGATGCACAATCAACGTCTAAAAAACGTCCTCAAAAAATGAGCGCAACATTCTAAATTGTGCGCTCATTTCAAATAGTCTCGCGTCTATAAGTGGAGTCGATGTTATTTATTTGTGTTTTTTTTTATAAATAAATTTATGTACTCTTGAACTTTTTTGTGTGTAGTTTTTGACAAATATATTTACGCTATATAAAGTGTGGGTCAGGAGGTAGCCAATTTAAAAAAAAATTTTAATTTAAAAAAAAAACTTTTTAACCGGATTAATGTTATGTATTATTATAAATTTACAACTATTTAACATCCAACACCTTTTGTCTTCAGTCACCGTGACCACTCACGCTGTAAAGCACCCGAAAAGTCGGATAAATTTAAAATTATGTTAAATAGTTGTAAATAAAAAAGTCATGTTCGACTCCACTCAATACCTTGTCCTACCGACCACGGTCGGTCGTAAAATTTTATTGCTTTAAGTACGTATACACTGCGTTGTAATAACAACTTTAAGCAATTCGCGTAAGGTTGATTTTGCAATAATATATGCTTGTAACATATACTGTTATGGACAGAAATAGTGTTTCGGGACACTTTCGAGCGTTACTTTTATTCGAGACTGTGCATCTTGGGTTTTTTGTATATCAATGGGTTGGGCTATAAATAGAGGAAGACGTGCACCCTTAAGAGATCAATTACCCAAAAACTGGCAATTCACAAATGACACCCAAATATTGAAGAGGTGAATTATTCCAATGCGTGTTTAAGTTTGAAATCCAGCAATAATCAGCAGCATTATATCCTCCCAACACACCTTTTAGGTGAGAATATTTTTTGGCATTTCCCACAATTAACTTACGATATGACACAATCAACATTTGAACTTAAAATATAGATAAAATTAACTAAATAGGATATAAGGCCAGTTATAGACTAGCACTAACCTTTTAAACTAGAGTGGGCGTGTCTTGAGAGTATTAGAATATTGGCGGGAGAACACGCCCACAGAGATACAAACTTAAATTTATTAAATTCAATTATAAAATAGTCACTTAAATCACGAGAAATAAACAATACTATTTGTACATAAACGTGCAAAACCACGCGAGTGTAAAAAAAGCTATTGCCTGAAAGAATGTTATTATAAATGTAATTTTTCTAACTAAATTTGCATGGAAAATTATTACCACTATTAATTTTGCACGCTTACATAATATATATAACGGGGTAAATAAAAAGTCCTCTAAAATAATCTGACTGTACCTCTAGATTCATATCTATCACGTTAGGGTGAAATCGATCTAGACCTAACTAAATCTAGACTATATAGTCTTACGAGTAAATATAGTATAAGGTTTGGCATGGCGTCCATCACATCCCAACTCTTAATTTACGTCGCAACTTGACACTAACCTAATTTAAATGCATTCCTAATCTCGTAAAGTGATTTTTACGTTACGAGAATTTTTGGCACTTATTCGCTACAATTCTGACAATTATCCAAAAAAATCAATACGAGTTTTTATTCCTGCTAAGTATTCGGAATTTCTAGCGAATAAACGCCTCCCACCAGTACACTCATATATCCAAATCTACTGCTTTTCTTACCACACTCAAAAAAGTGCAAGATTCAAAAAGGCTACAAAAATTTTAATAACTGTAAGTGCTTATAAGAAAGTTGAAAAATCACCTTTACCTCCCGATCCTAACAACGACCTATCTAAATAGGTATCTAGCTACGAACTTTCCATGAAACTCCTTTAACATATAACTGGGGTCCAAAATAACCACAGTTAACTAAATCTTATAAGCCCCTTACGAAAACCTATAGAACACATTTTCAACGCTAAGTAAAGAACCTCTGAAATTGATATTTGTGCGGGAAGCCGCGAAACATGTAAAGAATACCACAAACATAAAGCGAAGATGACCTCAGGTCACAACATCACACAATATACTCTTGAGCTAAGCGCCTCAGCGTCTTCAGACTTCACTAATTCGGAAACAAAGTTTTTCTAAATATTTATCACAGGAAATCCAGAACCCTGGACACCTCCAATTCTTTTGACAGATTTCAACGCGTCGTCCAAATGTGTCGAATGACATACGTTATGTATGTACGTAAACATCTGAATGAATTTTATCATCATTGTTTCTCAACATCTCACGACCAATATTATTCACTCTGAAGAGGCATCGGCGCATTAAAAAGATAAATCCGCTAACAGTTTAAAAATACAGGACAGTCGAATTATGGCAGTTACCGTGACGATTGGAACAACATCATTCCCACATACATACTGTATACGATCCCATCCTTATATTTAGTACTAATAATATTAAGTCATTGGACAGCTATGAACGGCAATGGTTAATGAATTACTTATATCCTTAATTCGCTTTTAGTTGTACGGACAGCTTCAGCTTATGATACGAGCTCCGTAATATGATCAGAACAGTGAATTACCTTCCATATAGATTAATTAGTATTTATATCAAAGATTTAATATCAAGAAAAACTGTCCAAAGACCCTTACAGTACACTTAGATAAATTACTAAACAGTTATAGATGACATACATCAAAGTTATCCTAGAAAAATACTTTCTTTCGATGCGCATTAATGGACCGAAATTCCTAATCTTGCAAGTGCAAGCAACGCTTTGTTGATGGGAACAACTTCAATTGCACAAATTTCCACGAATTAAAATTTAAGTGATGTTTTTTAAAAACAAAATATAAACGTGGCCAAACACATAAAAAATAATAGTATTGACCGATTTTAAAACTTTTTAATTACGTTCCATTTTATCTATACATTCTTTATGAGATAGGTTTCTTAAGACCAATAAATTTCAAATGAGAGACTACACAACAAGGGTAAGTTAAATTGTATGACTACGTTTATATGAAATTCGTGCAATTGACGCTTTCGGCTCGAATATGAGACAAATATAACTACGACATGGAAAAATATGAGGTTATACTATAGATTTACGGGGTACGATTGTCTGAAAGAGTTGTACATACGTTGCGTGGAGATCGGACTTAGTACTTCAGTAGATCATCGTCCAGTTCTGTGAGCGCCAATTTACTGTCTATCACTGGAATAGAGACAAAAAAAGTACAATTTACTATATAATAATATTTCATTCACAGAAGAAATAAATCATTTATTCTTATGAGTAACTGTGTACACTTATCTTATCAATAATAAAAAGATTGGTAGTCTAAATTTACATTTACTACCCGTCCACAAATCAAGGGTGTACACGTCCACTCGGACGAGATGAGCTGGCAAGAAACCCTCGCTACTCTTTTTAATCGACAAGTTTTTGGTTTACAAAGAAAAGTGTAAGGAACTATAATCATTGACACTATGCTTTACTTGATACATTGAATATTTAAAAAAAAAGTGCGTGCGTACGTACACACTACACATGTCAGAAGTGAAACTTCTGTGGCAAACTAATTTTTAAGTCTTGTTCTTATTTATACAAATCTAAAACTTTAGATTTCACAGAACTTAGAGCGAGGGAAAAAGGAATTTAATGAATTTAATTGTCATTAAAATACTAAAAGTGTCGAAAATTCATACAAATAAAATAAATGTAATTTTAAAAATAGAATTTCTATAAGTTAATTCGCCCTTCTCACTCTCTCAATCGCTCTCTCCCTTTTCCTCGACAAAAACGCTGCACATCTTCGTGACGGTTCCGTAAAAATTTACCCTAATGCGCCTAAAGAAATTTCACTTCAAAAAGTTGAAAGCAACACGTAAAAAATTTCATGGGTAAAATATAATATTTATAAATTTATAATAAGACAACCAAAAATTCAATAAAATTTGACATACAATTTAGAAGGTTTGACTTTAAGCGATCAGCTTCTAGAATCGATTACGTGTTTTTTTGTGTTCATTTCTAAGTATATTTCCAGTATTTTAGAGGACTTACTTTGGTCCGGGATAGTAGTAGGGTGGGGGTCGCTCGTACTCAGTAGGTCCGTGGTACCGTGGCAGTCCTTCCTCCCAGTGTCTGTAATCACAACGTATCATTAATATTATGTATTTACTCTAACACTAATGTTTCTTAATTTCCATTGTACGAATACTATGTACTATGTACCTAAATATAATAACTACCACATAGCTAGAATTCATCTTAGCTAATCACCATAATCCTTATCGCCATAAACAAAGTAAGAGTATATTAATTCAATTTCTGTGTTAATTGGCACCAAATGCCTGAGATATGATAATCGAATTAAATAAAGAGAAACTTACTTTGGCGCCATATCATTATATCTGCGCGCGTGGTGTGCGTCGAGGGGTGGCGCCAGGGCGACGCCGGCGCTCTCCGCCTCCCCCCTGCGCCCCTCCCGCCCCTCCCGCGTCTCGCGAACATCGCGCCCCTCCCGCCCCTCGCGTCTATTGCGCCCGGTTCGCTTCTCAGCCTTGTAGGCGCTGAAAACATTCTTGTTATAGCACGCTATCACATCGTACGACTCGCGACTATGAAAGGTATGGATTGTCCTTAAACGAGATTGCAAAAACTGTAGGAATAAAAGCATGACTTATATACAGTTACGTACAATATAAAATGCACTTTCAGAGAAAGTAATAGAGATGAGTCTTTCTTTAATGCGGTAAAAAATGGTTTCAGTCGTGCTCAAGAACTCTTGACGTTATTGTTGAGACAGAGTAGTCAGTTATGTGGCGTGGCTAATTCTGATTTTCAGAGTTATTTTTATTATATTATATTACGAAATTATCACCTCCATCTCCACCATAGGAGTACAATGATCGTAATGTCATAGGGCTATTATTTTATTAATTTTCATACATTCTCAAGTATAGTACAATCACAAAGAAATAAAGTTAGTATTGCTAAAAGTGGTCATGGCTTAAGTCATCCTAATTCTTGACATGAACTGTTTTGAAATCTCGTTGAAGTGAAATATTTAATAAAGTAGTTTAAATACAATTAAGTTTATAGTCGGAAGTCGTCAACACAAGTCAAACAAAAATGTATATATAAAAGAATAATAGCGGGGATGCATGCTACATCAAGACTGCGTGCCTACTGGAAAAGTAAAATAAAAATGAAACGAACGTGAAAAAAATAAAAATTACCAACCAAAAAACAAAAGAGGTTAGCAAATCCAGCCATTTTAGTTATTTTTTTCCGATAGTAAAGTCACACCAACCACATTTATTTGTTCATGCAAGATAAAAACAAAACAAGGTAAATCACGAGTTAGTTACCACATTGTGCTCGAACTCCTTTCCGAGATATGGGCGTCTAAAAATGGACTTTATCTCCTTATAATTAAAGTTTATTTCTCTACAACGATATGGCATACAGATTCAATAATCTTAAAACTAGATATGGTCACAGACAACATCGAAAGATTACATGATTATGATCTAACATATTTACAAATCTAAATGTGGAATCTAATGAAACCTATCAATTCACTGCAGTGCAATCACATTTACTTGTAAATGAGATTATAAATACCCTTATTATCGTATTGCAAAAGTAAACAAGCATCGTTAGACACGTCAAGTATTCCTAACCTAAAATCTGTCAAAACCAGATTAAGTTTACGTTTAATAGTACTAATTATTAGCTTAAACTTAGGTCTATGATATGATTGTTTAAACATCAAAATTGATATACATGATAAAATTACATCAAAACACCGTATCAAAAGCTACTATTTGTGCGGCAAGACAACTAAAATATATTAAGAAAATATTCATAATTTGTATGTAGTAAATGTATTTTCAAAACTTGTAGAAGCGTTTCGGTTACGGTAATATCATTGAAATTTACCATGGCTAATATTTTTGCTAATGATGATGTTAACTCATTATTTTTTCATTTTAATAGTAGATTTTTATTAAAATGGAGAAAGGATATATATTAGCAACTTGAATCTTTTCTATTAAGCAAATAGCAAAGCGATTGTGTAATATGGACGTATTTTTAGAAGCTTTTTTTAATAATAATTGTTACAAAATACTTCTATTAAAAATCTTTAGTCTGATCTGACGCGAGATAAATTCTACGAATTAGTTTGAAATTAAGTAATCCGGAAAATATGCGTTTAATTTCGGAAAAACTTGCTACTATCCCAATATTAGTTAACAATTGGAAGACTTTCAACCAAAATTTGACCATGTCTACGTAAAATTGGTCGATTTAATTGTAATCTAAAGTTGTGGACATCGCGGAAGCTCATCTTAAAGTTATATTATTTCTAACGCGTAAAACCTACTAAATTCCTTAAGTTACATAAATTTAAACCACATGTGGAATGAGCATAAACATAGAATCAAATTCAATAAATTCACAAGTAGAAATACATTAATTACGTATTACGTCACAAACAACAAGAAAAATCAACCAGGGACTTATTCGGACTCGTGAATGCCCGATTCATTGTCCTCATCTTTAGCGTCGAGACGTGTTTTGAGATCGTCAATGAGGGCCGCCGGAGGGGGCAGAAGGGCACATACGACCTCCCCCTTTCCTCCTACCACGAGCTGAGTACGTGATTGCGGAGAGCCGTCTCCTGCTTCGCTGTCAACCAGCGGTCCGTCACTGTCAGCGGCGGCACGGTTCCTGCCCCTCCATTCGGCGATCTTCCCTTCGATGTCCAAGGTACTTCGCTTCGATCCACTACGCACCCCGCACCCAAAAATTACGTCAAAATCGCGTTCACCCAATAAACATTGGTATCATCGGCCATCAATCATACGCTCTTGATGATGGCGTTGGGTCCCTAACCATCAAATGAAACAACTTAAAATAACTTAAGGTAACGGATTAAGGCTTGTGTGGGGTTGGTTAACATGCATTTCGTTTCCGAATAAATCTCTTTACAACATGCATTGGGCTTTATTATGTTAGTTTTCCCTAATCGAAGTCGATAACCAATTTACAAAATACCACGCGTGCATTAAAACCATGAAGAATGAAGAAGAAGAAGATGAAGAAGAAAATCTAAGTTTACACACTTGTTGCGGATACAGTATTAGCACATGCGCTAAAGGCAGGGAAGAGAGGTGTGTAAAGGTAGAGTGACTTTTAGTTTCCACGATTTTTTTTTTTCAAAATCTTTATTTACTTATTTTCTTGTAAAACTATCAGATTTCGAAAGTACTACTAGAAATGCTAAATAATACAAGTACTAGCATGCACACTAGCGTCACCTATGGTAAGCTTAAACCCTTTGTTAACGTGGAAACCAAACGCCACGGCGTAAGTCTCTAGTGTAGGGCACTTACTTGGCAAGGGGTATGTTATCGCGGTCCGCGTACGCGTCATACAAATATTCGCTGCAACAAACAGACAAGGCTGACTGTGGATGTCACGCGCTATGCCAACTCAACTCAAAAGCACTAAAACAGCTTTACGACTCTATGAGTCTAATAATATTCTATACAATTCAAGAACTTCTGTTTTTTGTATAAACGTTTTACCAAAGGTGTAAGTTGACGAGTTTGTTAATTGTAAGTTTCATAGCGAGTGGACGAAAACTTCAGACATCATAAGGGAAAAGACATTTTGTCACTTACAAACATAATATCGATTACAATTTAAAAAAAAACAAAAAAAACTGAAATATGGCTACAAGTACTACATTGTCTTGTGTTCATGAAGTTTACTAGAGTGACGTCAGTTGATATAATCGTGTTTTTGTAATGTATCAAAGAAACGTAAAGAAAAAAGAAAACAAACAAATCCATACCAAGGATAGCTACGTTATGAATATGTACAAATGGATTGATGCATTGCGGATGGAGTATTATGACCGCAATGTAACCCGCCAATCATGTATGGATCGCAAGCAATGTAGCGGGTACATGCTCAAATTCTAGTTACTGGGAGTCTTTACATTATACAACAATGATACGATAACACGACGTCGATCGGCTCATTGGATACATGCATTCAACTCTCAACATAATATCTCTACTTTTTTTCAAATTATGTTGTTGGTTACTACGTTTATTCAACAAAAAAAATCTATAAAACCCTAAATACACTAAAATGAGATTTCATACTCTTAGTTTTGGATAATAAGGAATACTTTCCAATGAGCCAGGATATATGGGTCAATGCAAGCCACTGTAGGGTCAAAGAGCGCACAACACGAGCTACGACAGTAATTTTTACACCCGACAATACACGCTAATCCCCAATGTCAAAGTAACTCAAACAAAAATGCAAAACTAAGTTATAATGTAAATTTAGTCCTTCGAGCCGGAGTTTTAAGACGTTTGCATAAAAGCGATATTGTCGGGTATTTTACTGTGTCGAGTATGATACGGTGCTAGGTAAGTGCAGTGTTACCGGAGTTGGCGCTGCGTCACCGCCACCAGCCGCGATTACGGCACATCGGCTCGTACTCGCTGCTGAGAACACCATCAGGTCAGACATAGATATACAAGTTTTTTGAAGACTTGTTTGGGTTTTACGATATTAATTAGCGGACTTATTGCTTAAAGGAATGCTGTAAGCACTAAATTTCTTTAATGCATGATAAAGGTAATTTTTAAATTATTAAGGAAAGATCTTATAGACTTTAAACGGGGCCCGGACGGTATGAAAACAAATATTGAGATTTAATATTATATGGCGGTGAGTAAACAAAAACAAAATAAACGATGTATGCACTAAAAGGATTAAAAAATAGAAATGAAACTATAGGAAAACCTTAGGTGTAATTAGGCATATAAGTAGTTTCGTTTCGTTTAATTATACGTAGTAAAGTCTCAGCTCTTTAACCACACAATGACATGCTCACATATTAAGTTGAAAGAAAAAGCAATCTGACTCTGTCATATACCGGAGTCACGATGTGTTAGAACGAGAGAGAGGGATTGTCGTGTTAAGTGCTGGTAAGACATCTCCAATGAAGACAAAGTTTCCCCCTGTCTCTATCTCCATAGAGCTCTAGATGGCCCAAATAATAAAAAATGTAAATAAGGTTCCATTCACTACTAGGATGAAGGTGCACAGCAATTAATTTACCATTGACAAACTCATACAAGGGTTAACATTTCAGAACTCATACGAAATTAAATACGAAAACTAAAATTAAATTAATATATTTGGGAATCATTTGCAGCCTTTGAGATGCAAAGTATTCCAAAACGATGATGATGGCAGATGAATGATATCTTAGAATTCATAAAAAAAATATTTTTTGTCATAGCAATTGCAAGTTATATTATTCAAAAATCCAACAAGAAGTGCTATGATTTTGAATAAAAGGAATTACTATCAATCCATTAGTTGTAGATTATTCCTACATGATAAAATAATTGAAGCTGTTTGTTCAAATTTTCAATTGCTTAGGGGTTCACACACATTTGGTACATGTTAGCACAAACGATAATGAAAACAAGTTCAATTACTTTACATGACACAAAATCAAATAAAATTCATGTATTGTAGAGTGTAAAAGAATATGGCACATTGGAAAAATACAATATTTTCTTTTGTATGAGATGGTTTCATTACAAATAGTGTAAGTCAAAATGATACTAATGTTGTAACTGTATTTGCACATTAAGACTAATCAATCTTTGAAGGCTGATACACGTTATGCTTTTGTATGCGCCAGATCAAATCTAATTATGTTAACACATTTTGTGTATGTCATTAGAACAAGCATCGTGTATTTTTTTCAGAAACTCTCAATTGGCTAGCATTTAGTATAAGTATGTTATATTGTTTAAAATAAACGTGTATGGTGTACGTGTTTTACGTATATATTATACGTACGCCTCAACAAGCGGTCCCGGATATGGATCGGGATGTCGGTACAGCCGTGACAGTCGTTGAGCGATGACCATCAGAGGCACGAAGAGTAAGACGCACCAGGCCAGAGATATCCAATACCCATGCTGTAATAACACATGAAAAGATCCGTGAAAGACGAGAGAATGACTGACGCCTTCTGATAAAAGTCAGTATGGTATGTTTCTAGAGTTACCAATGTATATATGAAAGTAAAATCGTAATGATGATAACAAGCACGGTACTAAAATTAATAAACTTTTAATAGTAACGCTCAGGTGATTAATCAAGATTAGTTAAGAGAGTTTTTATTTGAATCACGACGAATACAAGTGCAATTTTCTAGGCGTGTATTTTAACACTTGCTCCTATATTGAAGGAATACCTTTAATCGACATGTCTAAACAAAACTTAACTGCGTAAATTAGGCATAAAAACTATCCACCTTTGCCTATGAAAAGAAATATGCTGAAAAAGTTACAGAAATCAGAGGTTTGTAACGGTTTTTTACTCATCAACAGACGCATCGTTTCGCCTGTCTATCATTGGACTAGAGCTATTGACTACGAAATTGTTTTCCATTGTTGAATTTATCTTAATACCAACATAGTATCGTAATTATCACACATGTAGTAATAGTAATAGAATGTCCGACTCATTTTTAATAGTGCATTCTCTGTTAACACTTTTTAACAATATACAAATTTCGCCCTACTACTTGATATCAGGAATTGTGACTTTCCTGTTAATTTAATAAAAAAAATTCAATAGTAATACAAACAGTAGGCATGAGAACAGCACGGCAGACAGAATCTCTTGTAGCATTAAACGCATTCGAGAGCGGCTCACATCGGCCGACCTTTGTACGAGCGGCTGCCACCACCAAGCTCAGGTATTCTTGAAGGCGCTCACTCACTACCTCAACAAATTCACGGGTCAACTGAAACATGGATTTATTCATTATAATATTCATCGTAGAACATATAAAACATTAGTACAATACGATAAAACTTTGGAATCATACAAAATAGAACCAGCAACAGTGGCTAAAGTAAAATTATACCATTAAAGAAAATATTATTAGTGATTTTTCAGCAAACAAAACTATTACATAATGCATACTTACATTTTGTACCAAATCAGGCCCTTGAGTGTTAAGGAACAATTCGACCTCAGTTGTGTCCCTGATGCGGTACTGAATGGCTTCTTTTAGTGAGGATTGATTGAAACGGAGAACATCTCGAAGTTCTGTTGCTGTTTTCTATAACAGGGTATATATAAGTTATCATATACTGAGATAATCATTTTGTTAATAAAACGTACTATTATAAACAATGTAAGTCGAGCAATTAAGACAAAACTTTAGTGCACCAAACGGCACACAATCGAAAAGATTTATTCGAAGAACATAAATATGAAATTCCGGTTCGAAGGATCAAATCAATTTCTAATTCCAAACTATTATACTATATACTATATTGTATTAAATTAAACAAAAGAACTCATAATCTACTATAAATACAATTACATTTAACTGAGCAGTATGTTCCAACATCGGGTTGACAACATCCCTCTGCAATTGATCCAATTGGTCAGCTGCTTGCCTCAAATTCCTGGCCACTTCCCCATACCCCGCTCGTCCTGTAAGGGATCTCGCCGTTTGCTGTAGTTGGGACGACAGTGACTCTAATGGTAGAGAAGTTATGTTTGTTTCCAGCTGAAAGTTTATATGAAATGAACGCTTGCAAGCTATAGATATTAAGTCCAGCTTAACTTATATATAATTGATGGAGAAGAAAGGTTCATTAGACGGATTGTTAGCATATATTAAGATATAAAAACTAATAACAAATACACACATTAAATGTTAATATGTTGTAAAAAGCCTTTTGGTTCTGACATGCCGACTAGTATTGTTTTTCTAATAGGTTTACACGTGCAAAATTTCTATACTACATCACTGTTATGCATTAAGTATTTTAATAGAGGTAGTCTTAAATAAATAAATTCCATAATAAAACACTAACTTATATGACATCTTAGTTTGATAGCCGAAGGCACACAAATTTAATAATTTTACTGGAAAATGACAAAATGCAGTGTAAAAAAGTTTATAGGGTTATTTGAATGCTTGGTTGCTTTTGGATTTACGACATAGACTATGTCAGAGTGATGGATTTAAAAAAACTTAAAGCTTACATTCCGGCTCGAAGGATTATATAGCTCACAGTATAATCGTAGTACGTAAATAAAAATTAATTAAGTTCACTTACCGCCTCCAAAATCTTATCAAAATTGAAGTCAGAGAGTCCCGTATTAGCCAATTGATCTAATTTTGCCCTTGCTGCTGGTTTTAAAATAAGCAAAGGACGACCCCGGGGCGGATAATCTGTTCGCAAGGAAGAGACACGGACACCCAGATCTTTTTCTACGTCTTGTTTAACTGCTTCCAGATCGTAAAGGCGGTTAAGATGTAGGACCTATGAGGAGTTATTACTTTTTATTTTCGAAATACTGAAATTAAAGGCTGTGTTAAGCCTTAATTACAAAGCTTAGATGATTATTGGCAGATTTTTCGTCTCTGAACGAAATCTATGATTTAAAAACATTAAAACGATTTATTGACCACACATGCGATTCGACTTGGCTCGCTAAAGTTCATTCACTAGAAATGTGTTCATAAGTTGGGGCTTTAATATTAAAATAATATTGATTCTCACCTCATAGACAGTCTTATTACGATGACAGGCTAGTAAGACAGAGGTAATATTAAAGTCCGGATCACTTTTCTCGTTGAACATCACATTCTCGAAGTCCACAAACATCTCAACATCGGCAAATAATCGGTTATCACGGGGTTCACTATACAAAAATAATATGTAATCATTCTTGAAACTGTTTCTATAATACAACACTAAAAAAAACTTTAAGACTGTTGACATCCTTAGACACTGATTATTCATATATTTGGTCAGGTCAAGTTGTAACATTCATTAAATGTGGTCAATTCTATGACCAGCCACGACATATACCTAGCAATTTTAGGACGAAAGTCGAGACTAAGTATGGCTTCCATTTGTCAAAACATTGGATTTGACATACGGTAGTCATACTAGGCGCTATGCTTCGACCCTTAATTCTTCCCTTTGACAATCTTATTAGCCTAATAGTTAGTACAGTATAGTATATATCAATCTATTTAATTTTTAAGGAAGAACTTAATCAAACTATACTTAGAAAATCATATACAGAATCTATAGTATATGTACGTATAACGAGCTTTTTATTTAAAAGAAACGCAAAAGTTTTTAAGGCTAACGATAAGTAATCTGTGAAATAGACTCAACTATTTTTATACTTCTGTAGACGTAACTAATTCAACACTTACGTCAAAGGATCGCAGACAAATCTCTGTGCCGTGACGCCGAATACGAAATAAATCAAGATCATTATAGCGATAAAGGCACCCAAGAACAGCGTTATCGCTATACCACTGTAAAGTAAATTTTATAGATAAAAATATTAATAATTTGGAATGGTTATTTTTTTTAAAAGCATTCATTAGCTAATCATTGAAATTTGACATTAATAACTTAAAAATATTTTTTTTTTTAATTGTAACTTATTTTGACATATTTCACATATTTTAAAGTGTGCAATTGAGAAATATTGCATATACTAATAATGCTTTAAGTTAGGAGGTTTCTATTAATTTAGACATTACTGTAAAAATAGGAATATACTAGTTTTCATTGTTTTGGTACTTAATTAAGATTGTGTATTTAATGAAAAACACTCAAAGAGACCTACCACAGAAGACAAGTAGCTCCAGTGCCTTTATTGCAGCAGTCACTTGTGCCGTACACGTCAGGTCGTTTACCACATACACCGCATAGAAGACCCCACGACATCACTACCACAATCTGTAATTATCAGATAGTTACAAAAGACAGAAAAAACAAGAACAGTAACTAGAAAATAGGAATTTTCTAAATTTACATTTACTACTTGTTCCTAAATAAAGGGAGTAGGGCAAGAGGAACTGGCAAGAACGGAGATTGAATGAGAAAAAGGGTGCGTGTACTTATGTACGCGCGTAAGAAGTTATACTTCTTTGGCATTATTAAAAATAGTTTTTGATTGCATGCAAATAATTAATTACAATTAAATAATCAAAGACTGGAAAAGGAGTCATTATAGTCAATAAAGTTTACATTTGAAATATTAAATAAACAAATATTTATTATTATTCTCTTACACTAAGTATAACATAAATTCTATTATTGTTCGAATGTTGTTTTTAAATTATGTCCAATGCCGTAGCATCTTCCGTGGGCAACTTCATTCTGTTAATTTTTACGTGCGCGCGCATCGTAAAATTTCACTCACATCAATTTTTCTTAACGCGCCTAAAGAAGTATAACTTCAAAAATACACACTATATGTCACATTTCTAATAAAAGAGAGTGCTATACGAGACATAAAGCTATACTAAAAACAACGAAATCTAACTAAAAATTACTGACGTCAAATGACATTCAAAAATAACGGAGTATAAAGCGTTCTTGGAGGGCACTTCTACAATTGAAAGTCAAAACTCCCTTAAAAACAGATGAATGGAAAGCTGGAAAAGAACTTTACCCAACATGTGATTCCAACCCTAGAGGGGAGCGTTCAAGTAGGTATTACGTAACGCAATTTTTAAAGATTTTAGAAGCTCCCTCCCTCCCATGTAACGCACCATAACGTTTTTCTGTACTCAAACCCTTAACGTTACGTAACATTTAAGTGACTATTAAAGACACTATGATGTTAAACAAAGTAATACCTTTGTTATTGTATTAATTGCGTTTGCAGTTATAATAAACAAAAGAAGAGATTTTTAAGTTATATGTATGCATCCTTTATATGTTCTAAAAACTTTTCTTTGTTTTTTAGTTTTTCTTTAGCCGTTTTCCAAATTTCGTTGGCACAATTGTGCTGGCAAGTTAATATGACAGCTTTTATATGCCATGAACAACTGATGATGCAAATCTCCCGCTTTCGAGGACATTACGGTGAAAACAGCAATGTGCTTCTGTGTAAACTCTAATTAAATAAAAACCTCGTACACACAGTCGAGGGATTCCCCGAATCATAAACTTAGGAAAGCAAAAATAAAAGTAATGTACAATACAATAAAGGGATTCCCCGTACAACATAAACGAAAAGGGTTGCCAAAACCCCCAGTTTTTTTATTAAAATAAAAAAAAATACGTAACGCGTTGTTTAAATAGCACAAAAGTAACGCGCTGTAACGTTTCAAAAGACTCCCTCCTCCCCCCAAATTGCGTTACGTAATACTTGAACGCTCTCAGAGGCCCAACCAAACACTAAACTTCAAGTTTGTGAATTAAATGTTGTAAATGTCCTTACCAAAAATCAAAAATACCATACGTCACACTATTTGTCTATAGTTAGAGCTGTTTATCGGTTTTATACACACAATAATTAATATCAGAAATTATTTCAACAAGACTACTAACTTTTTACGAGAATCTCTTACAAAAAACTCACCAAAAGCAACACAGCTGCGGCAGCCTTTGACACATATTTGCGATACGGCGCGTACCGATCTATATAATCGCGTTGTATTTCATCGGTTTTGATTTTGACTTGTGCAAGTTTCTTGCTCATATTGCCAGCTTCATATGTGATCTGATCTGCTACACTTGCCAAACGCCGACCTATGAAGAATTAAAAAAGTCTATATAATTCTCACATTCAATTTGTAGTCTTGCGGAAAGAGGGCCGGTCGTGGCATGTTTTAATGTTGTCAACACTGAAACGTTTGACAGTTAACATAGGGGGAAGCGTTCAAGTATTACGTAACGAATTTTGGGGGAGGGGATCCTTTTGTACAACGTTACGATGCGGGGCGGGTATTGAATTAAGCCGTTATTGTTATTATTATTTTCGACTTTCCAGTACTTACACATAATGGTGACTTTTAGGTATAAAGAGTCACTAGGTGGTCACGAAACGTTTTACTATACTTGGGTACAAAAAAACGTTACGGCGCGATAAATGGGGGATCAGGTTAATAATCTCCAAAAATTGCATGAAGTTATACTTGAACGCTCCCATACTCAATATGAAGAAGACTAAGCGGTATGGTCGAAAGACCTGCGCCATGGGCGAAAAGAAAAAAAAACAATGAGAAGAAACATATAATTTGAATAAATGGAATGACGAATTATATTAGTTCGGGATAACCGTCTAGCTGATTCTCTTTCCGAACAGAATAAATTCAACCAAACTCGCCTACGACAGATTATATCTAATTGATAGTTATTGTGGTTTAAATTTTACATAAAATTTTTCTTACGATAATCGTATCGCATAATTTATAAATTTTGTATACATACCCGTTTCAGTGATAGCTTCCTGGACCTTCGGTATGTGCTGGTCTACGGTCTTCTTGATGCCGCTAAAGACTTCCAACCCAGCTGCTACGTCTTCTTTTATATTACTCTCTAGGAGCGAGCTGACGTTCGTCAAGAGATCTGATACGTCCGGGATCTGTGATAAAGACAATTTATAGGATAAAATATTTACTCATTATTGTAGTTCATATTAAAATGTACCTACTCAAAAATGTAGCTCATTTATTATTAACACCTAATGAAGTATCCAATGAAAATAGGAACTAAATGCCATTTGATACTATCAAAATTTTATTTATAAAATTTGTAAAAACGAACCGAAGAAAGAAAGTAAAATAACTTAAAGGAGCCGTAATACATGGTATATTTTAATTTATAACAACTTTTATTGTTTCTTTTCAGTAGAATTTTCCATTTGAACTTTAGGAAAATGGTAACTAATCTAATTTTAGATTATGTGGGACTTTTGTGCCACACACGGCGATAAGTTTCATTATTATATATAGCATATTATATGCACTAACAATGGCGCAAAAAAAATAATGGAGGCAAATTGTATCAAATGGCAGCTACAGCCGTCTCCATACTGTGTGAAAAAATAAAAATTTTTTTTTTGGAACAAAAAAAATAAAATACCAAGCAGCGGTTAATTCATTTTTGTGGGTTAAATGTGAAATTACCAAGTCCACAGACCCGTGTCTGTCATAATACAAACCAAACTTAGTACCATACTTTATAAAAGAGATATGTATTAGGAATATTTAAATATATAAATATTCTTAACACATATGAGAATACATACCGTTGGGAAATATTTATCAAGCATCTAATCCATTTGAATGCATGAAATTAAAATTATTACATTTCAAACAGTCCTATTATAAATCTAAAAAATCCTTAATATTTTTTTAAATATTTGGGTATTTTGACTAGAATCTAGAACCTAATCATCTAGGTGTTAATTCAATTAGTTAAAGAGATTTCCACTTAATTTTTATCGATGAAATTAGCATTTTTGGAAATTGATTTTGTGCCTTCCTGGGCCCTTACTCTATAACTTTCAGTAGTGGAAGCGACCCTTATCTCAATGATGAGTTTTTGTTCCGAAATCAGCACCCCGGATATTGAGAACAACATCGAACTACAAAAAAGCAGCTTTCAGTATCAATGTCGGTATTGGAAGTTAAAAAGTACGGGCATAGGTGTATTTTACCCAGGTAACTATTTTTGTGTTTTTATCACATGATTATAATATTACTTAGATGTCTATTTTGTATGTCTTATTGTTATGTATAGTTGTGTATTAATGTGACAATAACTTTTATTTAATTTATCAATTACCATATTATATTGTATTTCGGTGCCTAACTGTCCAAGTCGGTATTTCTCTTGCAACTTTATACATTCCTTTTCCTGACAAGCCACCAGTGTACGATGTAGCAACCCTTTAACTCGACGTAATCCTGAAATAAAATAATCTATATAACATCTGTATTTTTGTATTTCAAGTATTAATTAAAAATAATTAGATAATAGATTTATATGGGCTTGACTTGAGGTCAGTTGTATGGTACCTGCCAATTGTTTATCATAATAAATGATTAATAATAGTAATTTTTATCTTGAATTTCATAATAAAACTCTATTATACCAGCGTCAAGTTCTTCAGCCTTCGAGCGCAGCGCTGAAGTTGATTTCTGTACTGTTCTTAAGTCCTCGGGAACTCTGTCCAACTGCTGGACCATTCCATTCAACTTTTGCACAGACGTAGCGCTTGTGAAATCATCCAGCACTTTTAGCACCGTTTGACCGCTACCTGTAACGCAAATTTCAGTTTAAAATAAATAAAATATCAGTACATATAGATTATAATGGCCTCATTTTACATATATAAATATTTCGTCATTTGCTGGATCACTTCAAGATAAACTTTACGACTACAGACCACTCAATATACGGAGCTATATAATACGTTGGGGAGCGTTCAAGTATTACGTAACGCAATTTTTGGAGATTATTGACCCCCCCCCCCCATGTAACTCGCCATAACGTTTTTCAGTACCCAAGTATAGTAAAACGTTTCGTGACCACCTAGTGACTCTTTAGTTACTATTATGTGGTGTAAGTCGAAAAAAATATTAACAAGAACGCGTAATTTAATCCCCGCCCCGCAACGTAACGTTTTACAAAAGGGCCCCCCCTCCAAATTCGTTACGTAATACTTGAACGCTCCCTTGCATAATAAATAATAAAGAACCCAGGTTAACGAAAAAACACTAAAACAAATCGTAATTATGTAATAATCATTTAGTAGAACATTTTCTCACAAATATATTTTTGTGTCTTGCTATTTTAATTTTCAAAAAATAGAAATCAAACGTACCAGGCTCACATGAACTAAAGCCACTTACTTGTAAGCATCTCGTTAAGTTCCGCCTCAAGCTCCCTGTAGTTTGTGACTAGTAAATGTCTGGAGTGTGCCTGCGTGGCATTCAGGAACTCCCTAACGTCCTGTACGCTAGATTTAACAGTCTTTGCAACATTTGTAGTACCGGTGTCTATTTGAGAATCAGTCGCAAACGCACATACGACCCCGAATCTGGAAAACATGACAAATAAAGTAAAATTATCAATTTTAAATTTTTTTATTGTTGCCTGGGTTTTATTTATCAACGAGACTTTAATACATATTTAAATTGATAATAATGGACATCAAGTAAGAAAGCTATAACGTGTTTTTATGATTAAATACTTATGTATGGATTCTTAGTCGCTCGTAGTAACAAATATAACCTTTTGCTAAAATTAGCTTATGAGATTTTAGTTTCCGCAAACGTCTAAGTCTAATCCTATTTCTTAGAACTTTTAGGGGTTCAAGCTTAGAATTTCCTTTATTTTAGGTATGTTTACAAAACTAATACACAGTCTTCATAAAGAAAAATAATAATTGATAATACAATGACAATGAACGTGGTTTTAGATAATCATAGCCGACCATTAGTAATGGGAGAGGCACAAAAAGATGAATAATTTAATAACTTGTGTAGTAGTGAAATGCTTTAATGGACCTTTTTAAATCCGTTAAGTAATTGTTTAAATTCATAATTAGGAGAAAATTATACATAATAGTACGTACAGGAATGACAAAGATAAATTTTTTGGCGCGTGGATGTAAAATATTGAGCGATAAAAATCACTGTTATTTGTTTAAACTGAGTGAAAAACTTACAAAAATAGAGTAAGGAATGCTATAAGAACGATGGCCAGTATTCCTTTGAGACATGCGTCGTATTTCCGGTCGAATGGCCTCCTTCTCCGACCAGACTTACACCATTGACAACAGCACCAGAACAGGCTGAAAATATAATCATAGATATGTATATGCATATAGACAAATCGTTGTGTTTAATTTATTTTATTATTATTAATTAACTATTATTATTTACTTAAGAAGTCATGTGGAACATGGTGTAATGGTTGCAGCGCCTTACAAACATTGTGTAAAACAAAAAACTTGGCGATTAAAAAGAGTGGCGGAGGGTTTATTGCCAGTTCTTCTATTCTGTACGCCCTTGATTTGAGAACTGGTAGTAAATGTAAAATTAGAAGCATTTAATATGTATTTCTTTTTTGATTCATAAGTGTAAATTACACTTATGAACGTGTTACCTATATGAATAAATGATTTTGACTTTGAATAATTTTGAATTATACCTTAAAATTGTAAAACAAATTTGAATTAATGTGCTATGATAAAATGAAAATATATCAACCTAAATCAATCAAATAAACGCTCGTACATATCTTAATTCAGAAAATCCAATATACATATATATATGTTCAAAACAATTAAAAATTACTGACCCCGTAAGTGGAAGTATAGCGACCAAGAGGACAAGAACGACAATCACAGCAACAGGTCCAGCGTAATGGGCTAGCAGGATCTTCCATTTCTCCTGCAGAGGTGCTACTTCTAAGTTTCCATCAGAAAACCAGACTATACCTGGAATAGAAAGAAAGCATTTATTACACACCGTTATTAGGAGACGAAAGAAAAACATTTATTTACAAAAAACTATGGGCTTTTCAACAAACAGGATCAGACGTGGTCGTGTTACATTTTAAACCCGCTTAAACAGTTTTGTTAAATTAAGTTACAAATATACTTCTAATTTAATATCTAATCAAACCATGTAAATATAACATCGATTAAACGGTTTTGTACATACAAATGAAGATCCATGTTTTTAAAATACTGTTATTTGATATTTCCTAAGAAAGCATTAATCTATAAGAGTAAATTGCTTCTGTACTAGCGATTGGCATCCTAATAAAACAGGCTGAACTCTCCGTTATTTTACCGGTTTTCTAATGATTTTTATATAACTGTGATTTCACGTACAGTTGCACTAAATCTTTGTACCCATATTCCAGAACGCGAAACGTATCAACTAATTATAAAAATTTGAGATTTCTAAATTACTCATACATTACCAATTATTTAAAATATCGCTATAGGAAAGATAAAAAATCTTTTTCTTCTATTTCTTAGTCTAATTCTTCTCTTAAAATCTAAATCTTAGCACAAACATCTGTAGACTGATATTCGCGTAACATATTATTTCGCTAACGTATTCTATAAACAAATCGACAGATAAAGAAAAGTCGTTCTTAAAGTAAAAGAGTTAAAGCATAATTTTAAAAATTTTGAAAGTGTAATATGGAGCACATCAGACACTGACAGGCCACTTACGCTAATTTATTACTCGAAGTTCATCTAAACAAAATTGATTATTGACACCTAGTACTATTTCTTATATCAACCATAAATTGATATGTTTATTCATTTTGATCATATTTTTGTTATAAACCATGCCATGCCTTTCAATTGCATCGTTGGCATGGCCTGGCATGTTTAAAATAGTTCGAATTTGCCAGCCAGATGGGTAAGTCCCTTTCGCACGATTTACAATCAACATTAGTTAGAACATACAGAAATGTAAACTGTATAGCAAACGTCTTCTGTAAAATATGTTTTTAATAAATCATTCATATAACATAGTGTATATTAGTGACCGATGTAGGTTAATAAGCGAAATTTCGTATATTTCCCAAGCGGCTCGTTGGTCTAGGGGTATGATTTTCGCTTAGGGTGCGAGAGGTCCCGGGTTCAAATCCCGGACGAGCCCGCAAAATAGCTTTTTTTTCTTTTTTCGTTATTGTCCCATAGGATTTTTTCCTTAAAATATAAACTTCATACTTATCATACTATACATAACGGTACAGTATAAACATTGAGTCATCATCATTTGAAATTCTCACTCTACTGCACATTTCTCGCAATGTCAACATTCGTGATATACTTGATAATGGCCATTATACAAGTGATATTATCATTACTCTAATCACTGCTCCACTCGCGTGATTCACCTTGGCCGTGCCGCAACGGTGCCGTTTCTAACAACCACCATTGTTATGCTATCCTGGTAACAGTGAGTTACGAAATACGGCCAGTTAAATAATCACACGTCAATTGATCTTGGGAACAATTGTGCCTAAGAAAAAAAGTGCATTGTTTTGATATTGCAATACATTTTTTTTTAAGTTGGATAGTTTTACTTGTCGTTGTTTTTGATTATAAAAAGTCACCGTCCAAAAATGTCCTATGTTTTTTTTAATTTAGCAGAGTGAACACAAAATTAAACTTGTAAGTTTCACTTTTTTTTCCTACATGTGTCTTGACTAAGACATCATAGAACATTACGATCTAGCCTAACTTAAGACTAATAAGTAATTTATATCTAACCTTATTTACCAAAAAAGATAATTTATATATGTAAGTTTCACTTGTGCTTGTAATTCTTCAAAGTAATAAGCTAGACATTACAAAGTTTCAAGCATCTTTTGTTCTTCCATTGTTCCATCTGCTGTCAACTCTTTGACTTTGAAACCCATAGAAATTCACAACTTATGACTTTAAAAACAGCTACATTATAAAAGGATTGTTTCCTATTTATAAAGTAATATCTAGTTTTCCCGAGGTCGTGTTTTCTAGAATGAATAACAACCGGAAATTAAGCCTATTAATCTATCGTACGTAGAAAGCTGCATTACATCTATATAATTCGTTTGATATAAATGGAAGTGCAATTATCATTTAGTAGGACATGGGATCATAGCTGTGACTTCATTAATAACTATTTGTACTAGCAAACAGGTGGGTCATCGGGGTGCTTTAAATAATAAAGGATTTTAGTTTTACTCTATATTAACAATATACTATACGTGAAATAATTAAATGTTAATTGCTATCGAATCGAAGAGAGTTCCTACGTCTGGCTATACTCTCGGGGCGGAACTACGACGATTTAGGAAATCGCCACGCTTATAAAACTAAGAAAGCCTGAGGGGGCAAAATGTACATTGTACATCCTTGGCTCGTACAGTGATCAGTGAGATCAAACTGAGTACGGTAGTATCAGACAGTCATGAGTAAGATTTAGTGTAAAAGTTGTATATAATAGACGAATTCGCAACCTTGGTACTTCAGTTCTAAATTTAGTTAATTATTTAGTTTTATATGCTTACATTGCGGCCAAGGCAGTATAATCATAATAATAAATTTCATTCATTAGGTAACTTTGAGATAAAGGTTTCTCTGTAACGCAATTTATTGAAACTGGAATTTAGATTTGCGATTATAATTGTTTCGTAATACATGATTTCATGTTTTAAAAATATATATTTGAGACCTAAGACATGTTAACCATTACCATCAAATATAATCGAAACCGCGAAATGTATCCTTAAATTGTAGCACGCGACCATTACGGAAATCGATTTATTATTGTTTATTAACGAAATCAGAGCAAGGCGAGGCTAACTAGACAATATTCAAACTGGAACAGTTTAGTTACATTGTTTATTTAAGGACACAGTATTCAAATAAACCTAAAAAGCAATGTATTACATTAAACTAATGAAAAAAAATAGTAAAGTATATACGTCAGAAGCGAGACTTATATTTTGTATGTAAATAATTTTAAAGGCTCGACCCCGCACGTCCTCATCTAATGCCTGACTTGAGGAGTCCTCCATCCCTGAGGTCAACAGACCCTTGTCCTTTTGAACTCGCAAATTTTAAATTATGAATAAGTTTGGTTTCCGTTTATATACATATAACTTCTGCAAATGAAAAAGGAATAAATAGTCAACATAACTGTCATTTTTAAACAAAATAAAATATAAAAAGATTTCCCGTACCGGGAATCGAACCCGAGCCTCCTGGGTGAAAGCCAGGTATCCTAGCCACTAGACCATACGGGAGATATTCGTACCAACAAAATATTCGATAACGCTCTGCAAGTGAATGAAAATAGAACTAAAATCATATTGATTCTTGTATTTAGTGATAGGTCGCGCTGTTGCAGCCTGTTGCTATATAGGCGTCGCGCCGTTCGGTAGGGGGAAAGCGGGCGTGTGAAGGGGACTGAAGAGGTTGTGGGGGGAGAAAGGGGGCAACAGCAGCCCTTTGTGAGCGTTGCATTGGATCGATAGCCTGCGTCCTGTCTGAGCTAGGATACTATGTAACTAGCTACATACAATATACGTACATTATCAGTTAGTTTCGGTACAGTTCAATTATAACTTTTAACATTGTGATAATTTTAGTTTATTTTGAATGTATTTTTCATACACAATATTACTTGAAAGCAAGTATTTCAACTATAATGCAACAATGAAACGTATGTTTCAAAATGTCAATGCAACAACGAATTGCATGCATTGAAGCGTAAATAATGGGCAATCTTTGAATCAAGTTAACTGGTTTTCGCATGACTAATACACTAAATCAGTTATTAAGCCACATGCATGAATGCCTTAAAAGTACACGAATGAGGTCATATGAAATTTTGGTAACGATATGCATTATTCAAAACTTGCGTTCGTTTTATTCTACTAGAAATTATAATTAACTCGAAACACGAAAAAACTGTGATAAGGTTTATAAAAAAATTAAAAAAAAACGGATATAAATAGAACCGATCGTAATTCAAGAAGCAGTATATAGTTATCTCTTTGCTGAATATTTTCTATCCGCGATGGAAGGGTAGGGACCTGTTACTAAACGTCATAGGTACTTCTATAACATTGTAAACTTCTATAGTCATAATATTATAGCTACCAGCCTCTCAAAAAATGATAATAAGACAATATATATATGTTTGATTTGTGAACATACATCATTTTTAAGAATAACAAAGGTAGCAGATTTCACAATGAAACTATACTTAAGTGGAAAAGGGCGGGGCACATGGTAAGAGGAAGAGCAAAGTGAAAGGACAAAGAATTAAATATAGATAGACCAGATTAAGAAAATAGCGGGAGACACATGGCAAAGAGTGGAGCAGACAGAAATGGCAGGATTTGGGGGAGTCCTTTGTCAAAAAAGGGCACACAAAGGAATTAACAATTTTGTTAGATAGAATAATAAACGTATTTGAATGTACCTGATATTATAGGCTTTTATTATTATCATATATTTTTTAATGCAATCTTCAAATTCTGGTTGAACATTAATGTAATTAACCATTTACTTTCGGAACGCAAAATATTTGTTCCTGATTGTAGTTAAATTGTGTCCTCAATAGTGAAAGGCATCTAGTGCCCCGATGAAGGCCACCTACTCCATGTTCAACTTAGTCATCGATATAACCAATTTCTAACATCACCGCTCTAAGAACTCACCGGAAACAGTATTTAATAGAATATTATAAGTGAAGTAATAAAAGTTTTTAACACAAGTAGGTTATCAATTCGTGTATTTTTTATGTATATTATGCACAGCGAATATGTCCGGAAAAAACCTAACAAACAATAATAATAATAAAGCCACTTTTATTCCATACTATTTACATATCATAAGGGTGTGAGTTTCATGAAAAATGAAAGTAAAACATAAAGAACTGATAAACAATTATATTATTTTCATATGAATTTCAAGGCGATAAGTAATCAGTACTTACGTGGAATTATTAACAATTATTTTTATCTGATATTGATATAATTGTGAATTATTTACGATCAAGTTTTTATATTAATTATTCGTATAGAATAAACAAAAGCGAATCTTACTGAGGCATCTATAATAAAATGGAAATGACAAAAAAGACAGTAATTTATTATCAACGCATTCGAGATTGCCCAATTTTACAAATGATATCTAGGAAATATCGTCTCAGACTGCAGCTGGAGAGGAATTATCATCACAGTCGACAACTATTTGTCTTGTTCATTTCACCTCAGCTGTAAACTTGATACAAAGGGAACGTCGGGGCCATCACTTAGGCAGATGAACCACTTCAGGGGTATTTGAATCTTCAGCTTTCAAATCTTCTTTTGACTTGCAAAATATACACTCTTCATAAAACTCAACGTAATTTTACGTTATTCAAAAAACCCGGTTATATTAGAATTTGTCTGATTTTCGTATACGGACTTTCTCCGTCCAAAGCTTTTAAATCCCTTACATCTTTAACCATTTTCTCAAAACCAATCTTCACTCTCCATTCAAAACTTTATATATTCAATAACAATATTAAGCAACATCTTTAAACCTGTCTAATGCTCAAACTGAAACAATATTTATTGTGCAACATAACAGTAGTAAAACTATACTAAGGGTATTTAGAAGGTATTAATTTCAATACCTGTTATACTTAACCTGATAAATAAGTCAAATGGAAGAGACTAGCTGCCTACGACACAGGGAATCTTAGTATCCCCGACACTAGGCTGGCTGGCTAGTAGACTTTCTCATATAAAGTTTTTCTTTCTTTTCATTTGTCAAATAATCGGTTATTTTAAGGTGCCGTTTGCGTTACAGTATTTAAATGATCTCGAGAGTGAATACGACAATTTTTGTTAACACGTGGCGTGAATTGTAATTCGTTTGTACAGATCAAGGTCAAATCTTGACATGAACACGTTTCTATTCCTTCGCATGAATTACTAAGAAAGATTTACACCTTTTGCGCGAGTTTGATCTATTTCGATTCGAACACAAATTTTAAACAAAACCCAATCTTAAAAATACCTTTTGTTAGGTTAATTTGAATGAATAATTATTTCTGGTCTGGTTTCTGCCCCGTATTCGAAGAGGGTTCTTTAATTAAACTAAATAAAATATAAATAATACTTAAGGCCTAGTGGTTTCACGTTAATCAAAGGCGACTTACTCCAGGTAATCCAGCTATATTATGATCGTTCTATTGGCCGAGAAATGCCAGTCAATTTTGCTCCGTACGATTTCTATCTAGATATGGAAACTCTTCAGAAGGTGAACTGTACATAAACTGACTAAGTTTCATGTCAAAAACTCATAAATAATTAAAGTTTTGCATTCTTACATCATCAGTTGTCACAATCACACCTACGCGCTTCGAGGCATAAGGGGTTGATATCAACTGTAGTATAGCGGTGTTCATGCGACACTTGAATAACTTTTCATATCGCTTCCGCAGGCGAATTATTAAAACAATTCTTCAACAATTACTATAAAATGTACGGCGTTCTAATAATGTTTTAATGCAATTCTGTGCTTCTATGTTTCTCTAGTTGTCTATGACTAAGAAAGTTGACCTAGTCTCATGGCACAAATTGTGCAATCCAGGTTAAGTATTCCACAATACTCGGTAGGATTAAGGGTAAGAGGTAAAGTGAAGCCCTCGGAGAAAAATTAGGTTTTCATAACAATAAGAGGAAAAAAAATTAACGTGAAGCCTAATAAATAGACTTTCTTATTGAATGGAAATATAACTGCATTACGATTTAAGTAATTCTAAAAAATAAGTTATCAGACTCTTCAACTGATCGCTTACAAAAGCGTGCTAAGAACGAAACATTCGTTTCCCAATCCATTAAAATCAAACACATGAATAAAGAAGTCAATAACAAATTATGCAATAAAAAGATGCAATTATAAATTTTTCTTTACACGCGAAATGGATCTTAACCACGAAAGATATTTTCTAAGACAAACCCAGGCAACGATTCATAGAGATAGAATAAGAAAATTGGAAATGGAAGTCCGACATAAGAAAGGGACTTTTTAATAAGCAGATAAACAAGTGAGATAGAGCAATATATAGGTTTGTTTTAGACATCGGGTGATACCATCAACTATACTATAACTATACACGCTCCATAGTTAGTATCGAAATCAAGAGTCGTACTCTTTATAAGTACGCATATATATATATATATAAGATAAATAGATAAACTCTTTTGCAAAAAAGTTTCCTTTTTATGGACGACACTGGTTGCCCACACATTTCTGGCGACGTGAAAGCGTACATGCAAGAACTTGGGACCCGGCGTATAGATTGACCAGCTCGACGTCCTGACCTAAATGACCTGACCTGATCCAATTAAGCATGTCTGGGAGACGAGTAAGATCAATGCAAGCTGCTCCACGAAACATCAGGGAGCTAAATAGAGTCATTGCAAAAGAGTGGGAACCTATTCCTTAAAACGTTATTAAAAACATCGTGGAACATCCTGCCCAGAAGGATTTAAGTTGTGGTTATCACGCTCGTTAATAGGTTTTACGTT